CGAGAGAATGAGTTTCCCCTTCGTGATTAGGGCCTATTAATTAGTGTCAAATTTTTCGAATCTACTTTTGATGCAGGGCCATTTAATGCAGTAACAGATATAAAATGCTAGGCCTGTTTGAATCCTCTTGTTTACAGTATATTCAATTTTTTATTGCAAATGTTTTCATATATGGCCTAAATAGATTACCAAAGACTAGAAGTAGTGTGTGTATATATGTGCCTTGGCTGTCTAAGTCATGAGGATGATGCCTTGCTTGATAAGGCTATATAAATGACATGACCCTTATTATTGAGTGGAACCCAATTACGCCTATTTTTCGATGACAGTATTATAAGAATATACTGTACTCTCTTTGCCTAGCTAACTGCTAAGTACATTTTTTCGCTAGTCACACACTACTCACCTCACATGACAAGCACTAAAAACTGAATATACTAAACAAGCAGATTCATAAGGCCTACTAGCATTTTATATACCGTAGTACTGTTTTAAGGTTTGCATTAAAATTTTTTTGAAAAATTTGACACAATAGTAATAATTACGAAGGAAAAACTCATTCTCTCGATCTAGGCCTAGATTCTGTACCATAACAGTGACGAAGTCTAGCCCTACGAAAAGTTTTGTGCATTCAAATTGTATAGTTTGGTCCGATTGTAAAGCGTGGTATTATTTCGAGTATATTAGGCTTCTTGGACTAAAACTTGGGATATAGGGATTATTAAGTTCAGACGGTATGATCACGGAGGAATATAGGCTAAGTTTATGACTGATATATGCCACCCAGATCAATGTCACCAGAGCAGCTGCCGCGAATAGCAGAATCCAAGCAAGGCCGAGCAGGCCTTGTTTGCTTAGATTTTTCTCCAAGTGAAGAATTTAAGCAAGGCATAGAGGCATGCCAAGAGTTTGGTGGAATCAGTCCTTGTTTGATAATGGTTATACCATGGTTATACATAGGCCTAGCTAAATGTAATAATATTGGTTACAATATTAGGATAATGGTATGAGGACAAAAACATCAAATGAGGAGATGGCCAAATATTGTTCACCAATCATGGCTAAATTGAATTGAAACTCTTTACAAAGTGAAACCATATGCCTATTTATCGATGACAGTACTAAGTCAAACAATATTGTACTTCTTGATGTTCTACAGTAGTACATCGTTCTCGTTTCACCGCTCATCGCGGGTGATCTGCAATGCCAGTCTTGAAAAATGATGTCACGCACATTCTGGCACTTCATTGGGTGATGGTGACGTAATGCCATTTACCATACCTTTAGCAAATTGAAGTAGAAATACGGTACCGTATCTCTAGCCACGGCCACACAAAGCTAGTCCTCTAATTGGAGACCAACCCCAAGACCACTCCAAATTTTCAGGTCCCAAGGGTGGTCTCGAATTGGAGGGCGAAATGTATATATTTATAATTTAGTTTTTGATATAAAGTAGCAATTTATTATTGTTATTACCGGCAATTATATATTTTTTTATTACTGTAATTAAATCTTTGAATGATGCCGATGGTCTTTACGGAGAACATAACTTCTTCTGTAAAAAATTTAGATATTTGATTACTTTTTATTTTATTTTATTTTATTTTATCCACGCCCTACAGTACAATGACCAAAGTCACCATTTATAGGTTTGAACAACAAGAAAGTACACAATAAAAATACAAAACAATGCAAGACAACACAACCACAAAAGCTTAATATTAGAAACATTAGACAAGGCTTTACGGCGAAAATATGAAAATGAGTCATAAAAAATATCAATAGAAAAATTGACTTTACACAATTATATAACTTAGATAGCCTATTTGTAAAACCATTTTTTTCACATTCACTTCCTCCCTGGATATAGAAAATAGTGTAGGATTACTTAAATTATATATCGGAACAGAAATTGGAAAATAAACCTCCTAAGTTCCTATCATACTTTGAATTCATGCACTTAAAAAAGAAAAATTAAGTCAAAAAATTTGCATCTATCAGCTAATGGAATTAAATAAACTAATAAAACCAAATTTACGAGCCCGCTTACAGTAATGTCTAATGCGAAAGTGTGCTTTTGAAAATTGCATTTCAGCTGTTGCGCTAAAATACAAAGAGAGCTGCGATGGGAATTGAACCGGGGACCAAGATATCTGCATGGTTCAGCACACAGTAGCTACAATCAGTTTAGCTAACTGAGCTAGCTGCTCAGACATAGATTAGATATACACATGTACAGTATTGCCAATTATTTATTTCAGTTCAGTGTAACAGTAGACCTACTTAGACCTGTGTACATTTTCTACCATGTCAGAGCTACCACAGAAGTTGCTAAGTACAATTGAATGTAAACAAGGTGTTGTCAGGTGTGTTCGTTTCAATGCTGATGGTAACTATTGCCTTTCATGTGGTAGTGATAAGTCTGTCAAGCTGTGGAATCCTCATCGTAACATATTGTTGAAGACTTACCAGGGACATGGGTGAGTATTCTAGTTCAAATAATACCCTATTCAGACTACACTCTCTTGCGATCGGTAGCGATGTAATCAGTGGTAATCCAAAACTGATTACTCCCGATCGCAATCAACGAACGCATTCAGACCAACACAAACAAACTTTACATTCTAGGGGCTAGGCCTCCTGTGTCTAGGCCTATGTTGCCTGACCTCAGCCAAACAGTGCCTGTGGAATTCGTTGTGATACGTTGCGATCAGATTCCATGGTAATTGGGAGTAATAAAGATTGTAGCACCCAATCGCAACGGGTAACAATTGCGATATCGATTACATGTCGACTAATATTGGTGAGCTTTCACACACGATTTTACTTTGCGATTGGGTGCGATTGGGTGTCGCAATTGCTACAACCGATCGCAATGCGATGCTAGTCTGAATGGGGTGTTAGTGTGCTAAAATAATGTACATTGGGTATTCAGGTACTGTATATAAATTTTGGACATACTTACATCATTTGTAAACAGAGGATAAAATGATAAATTTACATCAAACCAAAATGCAAATGTGTAACCCTCAGCTTGTTATTGTTGTTTATTTGTTGTATGTTACATATGTTCCAACCCATTCAATCTCCCAATCTCGTCAAATTTTCCCTGATTTTTCAGAAAACAACCCGAAAATATCAAAAACGTCTATATTAGTGACTTTTTGGTATTAATAATTGAGTATTTCTGTGTCCTGTGTGCACCAACTTATCAACGATGTCCGCATACAAAGGCTTTCTGAGTGGTGCTGACTGACACAATGTTAACAACTCAAAAGATAAGGCATGCATAAAAAGCACTTAAATTTCAATTTTTTTTGGGGTAGGAGCGCACTTCACCAGCACACTTCCAGTCTTCTGAATTTTGAGTTTCTGGGTTTGGAACGTCTCTATGTTACAAAAGCTCATGATTAAACCAGATCTCCATGAAATGGCTTCTTTCAACATGGTGGGAGTGCTGATACATAAAAATAATGTTTGGAGATGCTTCACTTTACTAGGCTGGGCAATTGTTTTTTGATTGCCCTACTGTCCACAAAACAATATATTTATGATCTTAACTATTGTGCTCCAATGCTTAATTCCTTCATTCTGTACCCACCACCATGTTCTTCTCAGAGTCTTAGACTGTGTTCAGACCAAACGATTTAGGCTGGCGTTATGTTTATCAAGTGATGTTTTTTGTACACATTTTGGCTACAGGTACGATGTCCTGGATGCAGTGTCATCGTTTGACAACAGTTTGATAGTCTCCTGTGGTGCTGACAAGATTGCCATTCTCTGGGATGTTGCCACCGGTAAAACGCTCCGCAAATTCCGTGGACACCTGGCAACTGTAAATTGTGTCACGTTCAATGAGGAAGCATCTGTTGTGCTATCAGGTGTGTCAGCCAAGCTGAGGCATAGATTTAGCACACTTTTATTTATTTGACAACTTAAAGTACTGTATACTGTTCAGGGACGGAGAGTAGGGGCCATGCAAAATGCGAAGCACTTAGACGGAGGTGGAGAGAGGGGTGTGGCATACTTGATTGTAAAATATTATCAATACAAGTACACAAATTGCAACATTTATAGTAGTATCAAATGCGAAGCACTTAGACGGAGGTGGAGAGAGGGGTGTGGCATACTTGATTGTATGGCCCCCCCATGGCCCTCTGTACCCCCTGCTGTTATACTAAAAATAGTAATTTCAGGTCTCCCTCCATTTTTGGGACCAAGGTTTCCATGGTCTTTAGCAGCTTTGTTCTCTAGAATAATTAAGGTAAACGACATTTGTTAATTTGGGACAACAGAAAAGTGGTCTTTAATTGGAGGTGGTCTTTCATTAGAGGGAGACCTGTATTTATGCATCTGTTAAGCTAAAATTAGTACTTGAAAACATAAATAATTATAATTCTTAATATATTATTTATTTTTAAATTTGCTCATTACAGAAAAAATACTTTAATAACATGTAAATATATATTTGTCTTCCCTCTCAGGTTCAGTGGACTCAAGCACTCGTATCTGGGATTGTCGGTCCAAGAGCTTTGATCCCATCCAGGTATTGAATGAAGCCAAGGATAGTGTGACATCGGTGAAGACTTCAGACCATGAACTGTTAACTGCATCTGCGGATGGCTACATCAGAAGATATGATTTACGTAACGGACAAATGCATATGGATTGCATTGGAAGTGAGTATAGGAAGAGTATTTTTGTGAGGGATGAGAATTACGATGAGGATAAATTGAGGTGATGAATATAATTGTGGTTAGATGGTGGTCGTAGGAGAGCTAGGGAAGACTTTGAAGCAGGCTGTTAAAGGTAACTAGGCTCTACACTTTCACTGACTGCACTCTGATCTTGCCAAAGGCATGTTGCAGGGGAGGAGTGCCATCAAGTGAACCAGTGCCTACAAGGAATATCAGATTATGAGAATGAAGATGAGGTTGAGAGTCAAGACTAATAGGATTGGTTGGATGATACTAAATTGTAATGCTGAGGATAGTGATGGTATTGGTGTTAGTGATATTATTTGCAGTGGCGGCTCTAGGATACATTTTCTGGGGAGGCTAAGCTGTCTGACAGGGGGATTTGAGCTAGCAGGCCCGAGCTGGGAGAAGGGGTTGAGAGGGGTCCCCCTCCCAAATGAGATTCAAATTTATTTTAAGAATAGCAACCTCTGGATGGCTGGAAATGGCACTCTCAGACTGTGACAGACATGTGTTGGCCTATTTTTATATTTCTTATGGTCTGACTGCCCGACGAGCTCTGTCCGACAGGGGGTGGGGGAGGTGTCCCAGTACCGGATCTGTGCCTGATAATAGTGATAATTATTGTCATGGGGTGGATGGTGGTGATGATAATGGTGATGATAATTTGATGCTGATGGTGGTAAGTTTTAAAATAATTGTTTAATTTAGTTTGTTCATTGTTAGTTTGAACAATAATAGGTAAATATTTAGGTGATCATTTTATTGATTTTGGTGATGGTGAAGGTGGTGTTTTATTTATGGTATATTTGATAATGTTGATGTTTGTATTTATGATGAGGGCACAACATTAATGATAATAGTGTTGACATTTTGGATGCAGGTTGCAGAGAGGAGATAACCTAATTATGATCAGATTATTGCTGATGTTATTTTTGTTATATCAAAAATATTCTTCATTTATTTCCTTTGACTGGTTTCAGAACCAGTGACCTGCGTTAGTTTTACTAAGGATGGCCAGTGCATGTTAGCGTCTAGCTTGGACGACACGCTGCGACTGCTGGACAAGGACAACGGTGAGCTCCTTGGAGAGTACACTGGACATAAGAATTCCGAGTTCAAAGTTGAAAGTTGTCTTAGTCAGACCGACAGTCATGTTGTCAGTGGTTCTGAGGATGGGCGCATCTGTTTCTGGGATCTTGTGGAGGTATGGAATTTTAAATTATAGATTGTTCAAATATTACTTAGGAAAGAAGATGCATACATGGATTTCAAATTGAGAAAATAGTGTAATTTGGTGAAAGATTCAGTTCTTGAAATCCAGTCAGGACATTGAGGGAACCATAGCATAGGCACCGTAACTGATGGTTGCAGTAATGAAGGGGAAATTTCCTGTAGAACAAGCCATGCCACACCATTATTAAAAATAATAATTTGTTGATCTCTCTTACTTGACCCCTAGGAGTATTCTAGTCTGGGAATCTGATCTAAAAGGTACCTTGGCTCGGACTTCTGCCGAAACTGTTGCACTTGCTGAGCCACCCACTGGGGGATGGGGAGGGTATCTCCTATGGGGGTGAGCCATGGTAAAGCTTTGGTCCAAGCTGGTTCAATTCCATTGGGACTCTCCTTGTTAACTAAAGATATGGCAGTGAAAAAGTATACTCTATTTTCATATGTATCTGTAAATTTAATGTCAGATTTTTAGTCCTGTTTCATATTATTAGCACTGCTTTTCATGATCCCTTACCAGATTTATATGTTCACCTGTAAACTTAGAAATAACCTAAATTGTATTCATGTTGCAGGGCACAATGACAAGCACCATAGCTGATGCTGGTGATGGTGTGGTTCATTCCGTAACCTTTCACCCAACGGAAGCATGTATGCTGACCGCCGCTCAGAGTTCATTCAAAGTATGGAGGACTGAAGATTATGAGCCCGAAAATGGATGATACATATTTTATACAGCTCTTAGTTTTATATATTTAATAAAGTATAATATATAATATAATGTGGAACATTTTTCTAGCGTAATAAAAATGGCAAAAGCTCAAAGCAAGGAAAGGAACTGTAACGGAAACAGGATGTATAAAATGGAAGTGGTTGGTGCCCTGGTTACAATGCTGTTTGGGCTTTCAACTTTAAGAACAGGGCCGGGCCAGGAATACCTGCTTGTCCCTCAAGTGTATGTTTTGTCCCACAAACACATGCGTTTACGTACCTTAATGCTGTTGGATTGTAGCAACAACAGCCCAGGGACAGAGCTTAGCGGGCAGGTTCATTAGACCATTGAGAATAATGTTGAGTATTAACAAAATTTATTTAAGATATTGTTGCAGCACATTCATTTAATTTGTAATGTATTTGTTTTACAAGGGGCCGTAGGTCTGGCATTTGAATAAATTCCCTGTATGGGGAGCAGGAATGTTGAATATAGAAACGAAGTACTAAATTATGTCCGAGTTGGGCCTTTTATTTTTTTTTCTCTATATAAACAGTGCAACATATCCATGATCATGTGTGTGATTTCATCACAAAATGAGTTTACCAAAATAAGTTACAGTATTGATATGTTCAGATAAAAACACAATTTGTTGGGGATAAATAAAATATTATACTGCACTTTACTTTAGAGGGCTTCTTCTATGATGAAGTTTATTTGTACAATTGCAAGTGTGATATACTAATGATATAGGCTGACAATTGCTACTAATAGAAAAGATTACTTAGTTTATCTTTGTTTATATGTGGCAAAGACAAGCCAAACCAGTCACTCGTCGCAAGTTGTGTTTCAGAGAAAATAGCAAAAACATGCTAGAATGTAAAATTTTTAAAAATCTATTTTATTTCACTAAACTAAGGTTTATGTATCTATACATCATGCTGTGCTATTATTTTTCATAATTTCAATGTTAAAACAATACTTTTTAATGATTTTATGATAGTTTCTGCATGAGAAATGCCTGAAATCATAAACTTTGAAGGCTGATTTCTCATATATTGTTCTTCAAACAGCTGTATGCTTAAATGCTTGTAACTTCAGAAAGAAATGTAGGATTTGGACAATTTTTTTACCATTTTATAGCTCTTATTTTACTCTTTAACCATGTATTGATAACTCAAAATCGAATTTTGCGATGAGTGACTGGTTTGGCTTGTTTTTGCCACATATAGTTCCGATTTTTACCTATATACAGTACCGTATTTAACATCAATGTTACCCCTGCCAATGCAAGTCTTTCATTTAAAATTTACCTCTAGCAATCAATTTAATATACTGTTTCTAGTATATATCAGAAAATAAATTTCAATAGCAACTTGGGACCCATTTATAGTAGGCCTAATAGTAAGCAAATCGTTTACTAACTTCTTACAATAACATAAATAATGCTATTGTTCCAGAGTGATAAAATATCAGAGTGGTGTAATTTATATTCGTTAATGTGATCGACAACTTCTTACAATAACATTAAATAATGCTATTGTTCCACAATGATAAAATATCAGAGTGGTGTAATTTATATTCCTTTATGTGATCGACTCGAGTAATATTGTAAAAGAAATACCGGTAGTAAATTTGCATAATGAATTTCTCAATATTATTGTGACATATCATACTTGCAGTGATATTAATGTAATTACTGTTTGCCTAATTACTGGGAAAAAACTTTAAGGAAAAAAAGTCAGTACCTTGCTTACCCGAATAACATATTTTTATGCAATCAAGTAATGCATCACAGAGTTATTTCCCTTAAATTTGTGTGACGCAAGTAAAATCAAGTTTAATCGTAAAATGGCCATAAAACGGAATTATAATGATGCGTCCAGTGTGGATACTGCATCATAACAGGACTGACAAAACGTCCAACACATCTGTATAGCGATTCGTGGACGCGTTTAGAATACATCACATGAATATCAATTCTTAATCACCAAGGAAATTCAACTCTTGTACGGCCTATGCAATACCGGTTAAAAGCAAAAGTACTATACTATATTTCTATAATGAATATTAAAAAAAAAAAACAATTTAATCAGCCTGTAGTTGTATTTAACCCTTTACTCCACTAGAATATGAAAACCAAATATGGTGTGTCTATTATTACTAAGATTCCTAACTATATCAACCAAATACTTTTATGTTTACAGTACTTTTAAATATTTCTTAAGTTCATGAATAATGTAACAGATGGCATGAAGGCTCTAATGTTACGTGATTGTTATATAACTTGCAACAGTAGTCGGCTGAACACCAACTGTAGTGGAGGGTTCGAGATACCTTCTCTTTTTGGCCTCTGTTGTAGCTTGACTGCCACTGTAGTTCGAAAATGTTGAGAGGGCAGACATCAGAGCGCTGTCGGTTTTAATATTGCCAAAGTTTTTTATGAAACGTTTTATGTGGGGTCTGAAAGATTCATCTTCCTTCAATTTGCTTTCTAAACAGTGAAATATGTCACTTAACTGTCCTAGTACATCCTCGTCATTATCCATGCCTTTTCTTTTTTTCCTTTCTTTCTCTTTCACAACAATAGACACATCACTAGGCAGGCTGTTGGTCGTTTGGTCCGTAAGTGACCCTGGAGGAGGTGTCATGTTCTCAATTGTAATGGTGGCAACAGTGGCTTCATCTTCATGTACCAGACTACAAAACCTGTCATTCTGTACATCATCTTTACCTGTTTTAATAAGAGTGAAGATAAAAATACATAAAAAAATAGCTATCATGCTGATAAGAAAAAAGTTATTAATAATTAATTTACAAAATCAAGACTCAAATTCAAATTCCTAATTTAATAAAGTTTAAACCCAGGTCTTCTATTAATGAAAACACACAATATACAGTATTACATAATGAGCCCACTGTACCTTTAGGAACTGTATCATACAGTCTTCTCATATTGGACAACGATGTTGGTATGAAATTTGAATAAGTAATGTTGAACTTCTTGATTACAGCTTGTTGGTGCTTACACTGCCCTCCGGTGTTGCCAATAGGACAGGTACAGATGGCAAGTTCCATATCCACATGGTGGATTCGTCCAGAGGAAACACTGGGTACCAAGTAATTGCTGTCTGTTTCCTGAATTTATAAAATATGTTAGTGCACACCAAAGTGTTTTTTTTTTTTAGAATCCGAATTTATATGGCACCTTTCACATTCCGCAGAATATAGAGAGGCCTTGGCATCAGTATTTTTCTGGTCACTGGATACTTTGCTGGCAAACCAGCACATTTTTGTGCAACTTTCTCAGCCCCCTGGGGAGTATCCCTAGTCATGCTGCTTTACACGCACAACCACATACATTCAATGCCACATCATCCTACCAGGTACCCATTTATACTCCTGGGTGGAGAGAGGCAAACGTAAGTAAAGTGCCTTGCCCAAAGACACAAGCAATGCGACAAGCTCGGTCTTGAACTCTTGATCTCACGATCAGAAGTCCAACACCTTAAATGCTGCGCCACAAAAGCATACTATCATTTAGTATTTTACAGGTCTACACCAGAATTTTGAATAGAAATTTATAAATTAATTAATTTAACCTATTTTGTTTGCTGCTGTAGAAAGGAAAGGACCATAAAGTAATGTATCTCACTGAATATCAATCAATCGGTCCCCAATACACAAATACCCCCAAAAAACTACTGGCATTTTGCTGTCTGAGCACCGGTAACGATTTAGCATCGCTTATATTTCCAATATGCATATCATTTTCCCATACCACATAAGTGTGACTAACATAGATCCTCACATTGAATGACCACCCCCCTCCCAATAATATTACCTGCGGCACAAGCCATGACTCGATGCGTAACAGAATTATGTAATTAAGACGAATTAATATTATTTTAATACATTTTACCAACCTGCACGATCTTCTCAAAATCAACATCACTGCTGTCTATTGAGAACTGTTTCGATTGTTGAATGTTTGCCGTCTGATTGTCAGCTACGTCTAACAGCCGACGTGAATAATGGGACTCCATCCTCGTCAAGATAAAATCTACCGATTGGATAATATTGTACGCTTTTACGCGGTGTAACACTTTGCTTTTTACTATCCTCATCGCTGATTCTACAAAGTTATTTGTGTTATTTCTGCGAGTCATGAAACGACTGCGCAAGAAAATCGCCCATTCTGCTTTCCTTTCAAAAATACTTCTGATGCGGTCCAAGAATTTTCTGTATTTAACGGCACTTCCATCTCTTCCAATTGCCCTGTATCTCTCCTCTAATTCACTAACCGATTCTGAAAAGACAAGCCCTTTCAGAAGATCTAACAGATGCGGCCGGTCATACTCCTTAATACCATTGTGGTTGTTCCACAGCCACCTCCACATTCCTTGCAATAAATGAAAAACAGAGAGCAATTGGCTTGTTTGGGGATATACTGCCCCAAATGCCTGCGTAAGAGCAAGACAGTCATCCGTAATCAGTACCTCTGGTCCACAATCACCATTGCCGTGGAAGCTATCTTCAGGGAATATGCTCTTCAATAGTTCGATTCCTGCGGTAATTGTCTGTTCATTTTCCGAAGTAGTGATAAACACTCCAACAGGTAATCCACCAACCGAGGAATGGGTCAACATTACGAAAATGCGGCTTTTGTTACGGTCACAGCTTCCTGATGAATCCACAAAAATCGTTTCCCCACTCTGCCTAAAAGTCTTGTGAACTCTATTCATGAGCGGTGTACACACAGCAATTACAGTTTCGCCCTTCTCAGTCTTTCCTATTTTGGCACAGATTTGGTTTAGATCGTTATTATATGACTCCAGCCTTTTCTCCAGGTCTACAAACATCTGCTCACCTGAAGATGCCTTGTACGGCTTCTTAAACATCTGGTAATATAACCTGTTGAACAATAAAATGTGTAATTGATACTTAGACATACAAAATTATGTGTTATCTTCTATCACAAAGAGGAACGTACTGTAGTCCCAACACACACAGCTAAATTTTTACCATCATCCCTACCATGTGCAATGTTCACTATTCATTGTTGATGGTTCTTTGGTCCAAAAGTAGCCTGACATATCCGACGGAGGGGTTTGAATCAAGGGGCAGACTAGACCCTTGGTCGGGGTCCCGAGATACAAAATCTGTGGTAGAGTTCACGAGGGAGATTTTTTAAGTCCAGATTGTGATTTCAGACCACAATATTAGGGATTGGCAGTTAAAATAACGTTATTTGGATAGGCAAATTATTATTTTTTTAAATTGTTGCTTCAATGAAAAATGACCCATGCCCCCGATGGTGCCACTACTGGTCCATGAGTGCCCAGCAATACAAATGAAGTAACCAATAATAAAAATGAAAAATCAATTAAGATACCTCTCTTTTTTAATGAATAAAACTATCATGTATGAGTTTTCAAATATTCACAGAATAATATACAGCAATTGACGCCATACCTGTAACAGAACTGGTTATCTGGGCATACAGCGCGGTCTGCTGAAGCGTACATGTATTTGTCCTCATGTTCTTCTTGAAGGTCGTATTTTATAATACAAAGGGCTGATGATGGGGAATGTCCACGTTCGAAAAGATCTTTCAATTTCTTAACTGTTTCCTCGTTTACATCTCTTCTACGAAAAGCATCGACACATAATATTTGGTGATTGTGTATGTTATTAAGTCGGATGCTGAACATCAGTCCGCCAGCATTGATATGCGCATCCTGTGACCTGAGAAAATCATAATTGTAATTCATTTTATTTCAACTTTTAATTTACAATCACATCCATATTCAAAAGTATACAACATACAGTAGTACTATGCAGATCTACAATCATACACGCAGCATGAAACCCAATTATCAAATGATCATAGAACAAAGAGAAAGTGATACAAGGTTTTACAGATGATGTTGAGAGCTGGGCCCCACCTGTTCCTTACTCAAGACAACGTGCACAGTAGTAGAACTGAGGACTTATTCTTAGTTGGAAGCTAGCGCAGCTCAGCATACTGCTCCTGCGTGCACCCAGGTGTGACAGCGACGTTGTTTAGACATCGGTGGGTGGAGCCCTGTTTTGGGCACCTATGCTGATAGCGCTCATATTTTTTTTCAGAACTGTTTTTAGTAGTTTAAGTCAAATTTATTTACTAGTTGTTCTTCTTTGTCGTAAAGCGCATTGAAGCTCTTTGAAGAATGCGCTATAACCTCGATTTTACATACGGTACGGGACCGGAGGGCGTACGTAAATAAGGGGATTCGTAAAATTGAGGTTGGGTTAAATTTGTGGTGACCTTTGACCTAATGCAAACGAATGTAACAATGAATAAAGGTATGCTATGAATGAACGATGTTACCTGGGCTAGACCTACAACTGTACTGTAGGCCTGGGCCTACGAATAAAACCATGTGTTTAGTGTTTTTATTCATCTCTTGACAATGTCATAATAAAGTTTTCAAATAAAACCATGTGTTTTGTGTATTAATTTATTACTTTATATATTTTACTTATTACTAAAAAACATGAAAATATAGTAAGATTAACTATAGTATACGACAAAAGTATAACTTGGGACCAACTTGGGAAAAGATAAGTACTGTAAATATACTGTAAGCTAATATTAGAATAGCAAAAGGTAAGAAGAGAAAAGAAATGATACAGAAGCACAAGAAAGAAAGTGAAAGTTAAGATAAGTAAATATATTGTAAGTTAATATTAGAATGATGGAAGTTTTCTTTCTTATTTTCATTATAATATTTGCATAACAAATGTAATAAATTAAATGGTTAAATTATATTAGGCTTACCACTGCCTCATTTTACTCTAAGGTTTCCTTTTTGTTATGTACAGTTGAAGCTTGTCAACTATTCTGATAGCTAATGACAACCGCTTTATTTATTATTATCGCTGGTCGCGCTGTTCAGCAACCCCAGAATACAGTATGCAAATCTAGGATCGGATGCCACAGCCATAGGAAATTCACTATATTAGCAATTGTACATTTTAAAAAAGAAAAAAAAATTATATGATGTTCTGTTTTTATATTCATGTTTTAACATAAAATGTGTAATTTACCTTGAATATGTCACAGATCTCTTCAAAACCAAGTACATTGATGCAGGACAGGCTGTATTTTTTACGGTTCTCTTTGTTGATGATGACCTTGTGTTGTGGTGACATCTCATATCCACCTACACAAAAAAAAAAAAAATTGTTAATCGGACAAACAAAAGATATCAATTTATTCATTAACCAATATAGTGAATACCAAATAAATTAACATTATTTGTTTCAAATATTCAAAACACTGTATCGTTCTTTAACCGAAAGGTCCACTGAATAATCCTGATGATGGCATAATTAATGTCGAAACTTTGAATCCCAACACGAAAAATTCTTGGAGTATGTGTTTCACTTTTGTATTTTCTTTAGAATTTAAAAACAAAATTTAATTGATATGAAAATTTAAATATAAAAGGTGACTTGCCCTGTATTTGTTGACCCGGCCACATTCTGGATATGTCTTGGATTTTCTCCATGTCAGATATGAAGACTTCTGAAATTCCGCCAGCCATTGGTTAACCTCTTCAGTAGTTTCGATACGAGCCAGTCTCAGAAAGCACTTAAAATCAGAGGTGCCCACGGTTTCGTAACTACAAAGTACGTGTTGATACTCTGCTGGTAAAATTGTCTGGAAGGGAATTAAATTTTAATAATTGAATAACTCCATCCAATTGATAATTTTTGTGGTCCTACAATTTGCTATATAATAATTATAATACTATAATAGAGACCTTAGGCCGGGATGGGCATAAAAATTGGTCGGGGGCCAAAATTACTTTCTGATTTAACACCGAGGGCCGCACCCAAACTTTGATCTTTTCCAGTGCGCTTTTATAAACCTCCAAGCACTGCTTTTACACCACTTTATTCCCAGTTTTAATATTACTTTTTACATATGATCGGTGTCGGGCCATTAAAAAACAAGGTGTTTTCTAGCCAATGTTGCTTGGCGGGCCGCACACATGGGCTTTTCAATTCGTATTCATGAGCCGCAAGAAAATCGCTATCGGGCCGCACTTTGCCCCCCCCCCACCCGTGCCTTAGGCCTAATTTGTAATAATAATAGATCAAGTGCGATACATGGAGCGGGGGTATGTACAGTAGACGAAGTCAAATAGGTTAATGTTTTAACCCTAACTCACTGGAAAAGATATTTGACCTCTGCTGCACACCCGCGGTCCATACATCATGTCTGATAAATAGGCCTAATAATAATAATAATAATTATAATGATGATGATAATTAATACACTGTATAGTAGACCATACAACAACAATTTCAACAACGGCACACACTGTAATTTATCATTTGGGAAATTAAAAATGTTAAACTGAGGTGAATTTGGCCTTGGTTAGACTTGTCACAGTCTCTAATATATTGATTTTTCATGGCATTAGCACATTTCGGAAAGCGTCACCAGCGTCAGTTTATGTGGAGAAACTTTTTGAAAAAGCATACTATGGAACGTCATGCAAATAAGTAATATAATATGGAATGCCATTGGTGCCAAAATGGGTATATTCTTAAGCATTTTCACTGATTAGGACAAAGTTTATGGACTGCAATCCAGTCTAGTCCTGGGTATGTGTGTCCAGGACAGGTGATTTATACCTTGCTTCTGGGTCAAATAATAATGACCAATTTGACTGTCAGTGATTTAATTGTTAAGATCTTACACACACAAAATCCTCACTGTGTAGGCCTACCTGTCGGTCATCATCAGGCCAAATAAAAAAAATATTGTGTTGGCCACACCTGACCAAAATTAAGAAATTGAGGTTCTGCATTTTAGTTTTTTTTTTTTTGACTGTACAACAAAAAATGTTTTTTTTTTTTTTTTTTTTTCATGAGCTAAAAAGGCTGGAATAAGACTATCTTGCTGGATGGTACTGTGCAGTAGGTGATGCAACAGTGTTATGTGATTGCTTTGCTTTTAAATACAGATTTAAAAATGGTCTCTGTTGTATTTTTGTGTATTTTCTACTTTTTAGGCATAGGTCTCTTAACACATTTTTTGGGAAAAAAAAATCTTTTCCTACCGACCTACCCATTTTTTGGATTTTCCTAAAATGTGGCCAACACAAGTTTTTTTTTTTTTTTGTCCTCATACTATTACTCTAGGACTAGGCCCTATAATACAGATTCAGAGATGTCAAAAAGGGTGGGGGAGATCGAGAGCCTACACAACGGCAGGGGCAGCCTTACCCCCGTCACCCTTTTAGAAAGTAAAAAAAAAAAACGCTTCAGAGGTTGCAATTGAGTGTCTGTCTACAATACAAATATTTTGTGATTTCGTGGACCTCTCCTAGGGCGGTGTTATTTCGACCGGCCCCATTTGCGGTTTCCCTGTCGGACATCTGTGGATCCACTCCTGCCGGGAGGGGTCCAAGGGCCATGTCCATATAAATGAATTATTAAAGCTTAAACAAAGTTGAATAATTAAAAAAAAAAAATTGGAACCATAGACGAGAGGTGAACACATGCACACATTCACTGCCATGGCATGTGTTTGCACTTAAAAATAGATAGTCAAATTTTATCATCTGACCTACTGTACTTCACTCTTTGCAGTAGTGCGCCGACATTCCTGAAACAGCCATTAACATTGTAGGCCTATAAATTTTATTAAAACTATATTTTACTACTGTATTTCCATTTATTTGTGTATTTTATAAACATAATCAAAATATGTATCAACAATGGAAATAAAACAAACAAAAAGATACCCATGTGTCTGCTTTACCTCAACATAACTGTTGAAAACGTTTCTTTCCTCAAATTATACAGTAGTTAATAATTTCTTCTTTCTATGCAATGAGTGATTTTGTCAGCCTTATGAATATTATATATTTGCTTTATTTTCATTATCACATCATAGTATATTTTAATTTATTTTATATATGTATTGTTATAAATAGAATATTTGGTAATGTAAATGGAGATGCAAAAAAAAAAAAAAAAACTTAGACAAATCCGCTAAATTTGCCGGGAAAGCACTAAAAACTGATATTTTTTTTTAGAAAATATGCATTTGCATTACTCCAATTATTATAAATCATGGAAAAATATTGGCATGATTTTACACAAAAGAATAAAAAAAATGAGAAATACAGACTATTTCTCATAAAATATTACCATTTTCTCGACGAATTCATCATTACTAGGCAAATTCAGAGGTTGTAGATCGCATCCACTGGAATACTCTCGCTTTTATGTATACTTTATAGTCAATAAAGTGCGCCATCTCTAATGAGATTAGTTTTTGTACTTCGCATCTCGCACAATGCGGTCATTCGATTAATGCTGAGATATGTTTAAGTGTCAAAATCTCAGTCAGAATCAGTTTTTTTAACAAATTTGAAATAATTCCTATGAAATATTATATTTCACAAGTGTCATTACTAGGGTAAGGCTAGGCCTAGCCTAGCAGCGTTGGATAGGCTAATGTTTTCGGCGCCTACGATATTTCTTCTCACGACCTATCGCAAAATCAAACATGAAAATTCACCCACATTTATTTTTTGTGTGGAACACAAAAAATCAAATTTCAGTCTTATTTCACATTTTTTCATTCTTAGGAATGTCTAAATTCTGTTAAACTAGCAATTCCGTATTATAACTTTTTATAACATTATACAAAAATTAGATTTTTCTTAACAACTGAAATTTTGCCGGGAATGGGGCTTTAATTATAAGCCTACTTTACTTATTTTATCAATCTAAATTTTATTGAAGCCTTTATAAACATGATCCAAATATATATCCTATGGAAATGATAAAAAGAAACGTGTCTCCAAGCCAATCGACTTGTAAAATTTGCGTTGTTTCTGTATTTTCATACTGCAATGAACTCTTTAATAATAATAATAATATATAATAATAATAATAAAATACTACTAAAAATAATTGTTAATAAATGAATGTTGCAGTAATGTAGCCTAAGTTTCATGTTTAACAAACGGTATACTACTGCTTAATAGCCACCTTGTTCTATAGTATTAAAGTATTATTCGCGGCCGCCCCTTCGGCGCTCCATACACCGCAGCCGAAATGCATGACAAAAATACCAACTCAGGGCCGAAAATGCATGACAAAAATACCAACTCAGGGCCGAATCGACCTGGGGTGGAATCGACTCAGGGCCGAAACGACCCTACACCTTTGCGCCTCCTTGGCGTTCTAAGACTATTACTTATCAGAACGGCCGAACCGCTCCTCCTCACTCTCTAGCCTAGCTAGGCTAATAAGGCAGCCTAATTAGCCTAAGGCCTAGCATACCTAGGCTTACTATAAATGTAAAAAAAATGGTCTTACCTCCAATTTGGCGTAATCCAATGCAGGCGAATCTTCTTTCCAACAACGTTTGCATTTAGAAAGCGTCATCACACGAACGCATACTCTATCTAGGCCTTGGGCCTAGGCCTGCGCGAATTTGGTTGAAGCGTGATTGTTGATAAGTCAAGTGACCTTCGACATAGTCATGCGCAGTTGAAGGTTGAAAATGGTGATCAATTTTCTGACCTTTGACCGAGACATCGGAAAACAACAGTGAAAAAGTACCGCAATGGCAGAAAGCTATCGGAGGAGGCATTTAAAATCAAAGAGAAAATCTGATGCTTTGGTATTTTTGTCAAACATTCCACTTGATGGTCCTGGTCATGACGTTCTAACATTGAGGAATTCAGAAAGCTTAGGAAAAATTAAAGACCGAGTCCGGAGTGAAGAAGAATTTACAAACAATCAAAACAGGCATGGGGATGGTCCTGATGAACATCAGATCTCCAGCAGGGCTAGGGCAAGGCATCATGTTGGGTCTGAGGAGGTTTTAGTCCACCGAGTTCAGGACGAAGCATGGGACAAGGCGCGTGAGGCTGAGCATACAAGCTTAACGCGTGTCTTTCAAAGACGTAATACTAGAGAAGAAATTGAAGAAAGTAACTTCGCCGATTTGCAGAAAAATCGTTCACTTTCAGTTCATATTTCTCAAGAAAAAGGCTTAATTTCAGCAGTGTCACCAGATAGAGTACCATCATTGTCATCATCAGGTGGTAGCAGTGGAAATGTCAGGATGGTTTTGATTTCGAATCACAAGTCGCCATATGCAATATTTTCATTTTTATCGTATAATAAGAGGTTGAGAGCATCAACAGGCAGATATGAAAATGAATCCAACATAAATTTGAGATCTCGAACCCGAAAACATTCTGGCATTCACCAAATATCTGTATCAGAGGATTTGTTAGTAGGTTTGAATACCGTGGAGGGTGATGGCAAGACTGTATCTTACTGTCATTTTCTGGTACCTACAAGAGAAAATTTACATATGCAGCATATGCAGCCAAAGTATTTCGGAGGACAAGATATATCAACCTTACCACTGCCACATTCGCCAGCAGTTAAAAAGTTCACAACACACCCGCTGAAAACTGCAGGATTGCCACCCTCGCCTACAAAAATTGTCGATGGAGAAAATATATTTCATGATGTTTTGTCTGTTGGGCATCTGTATGACCCGAATATAGTGGATGACCCTGAACTGAGTTCTGGCAAACATAAGAAGGTGCTCACTTTTCCATCATACATGGTGTCGATCATAGAGCATACAAAACCAAGTGAACTTAAGAAGGATTTGAATGAACAATTTGCAGACCGTTTTCCACACATCAATCTTACATTGAGTAAACTCAGAAGTATAAAAAAAGACATGTGGAAGATTTGTATGGATTGTAATGTGGAACCTGCCATTTTGGCACAAGCATATGCCTACTATGAAAAATTAGTTCTGAATGGAAAAATCCAAAAACAAAATAGAAAACTTTGTGCCGGTGCATCATTGCTGTTATCTGTCAAATTAAATGATGTTAGGAGATCTGATTTAGACAGTATTGTCAAGGAGATAGAAGAGCGTTTCCGTGTCAGCCGAAAAGAACTGTTCTCCTATGAATTTCCTGTCCTAGTAGCACTAGAGTTCTCATTACATCTTGCAGAATTTGAAATTTTGCCTCATTATAAAAGAATCATCCAACTTACATAAAACAAATGTTACAGTACAGTTTATTCTTTTAAAAAAAAATTGTACAGTACATTATGTCTATTGTATGGATTGTCTTTTGGGAAAGGGCTTTCACTCAATTTATTTCGCTTTTGGAATTTTTATATATATCTGGTTTTAATGGAAGGGTTGTAAATTTCTTGTTAGTCTTGGGAGGCTTTCAAAAACAGCAGTTTATTTCACTTTCTCTAGCATGCAAAGGATTTGACTGGCACTTTTCATACTGATTTATTGTTATACTTATTGTTATACTGTACATAAAAAGCATCAACGTAATACTTTTTAGGTCAGTTTTGAGCTGATATCAATGATCGCCTTTTAGATTTGTAATCATCCAAAAATCTGGTCTGGAAAAGTTAAACATACATTCAACCCTCCTTGAATGGCAATTCCCCTCCTACAGTACCACTGGATTAATAAGAAGGCATGCATTATGTGCAGTACGTCAGGTTTGCAAACTTTGAATACTGCGCAAGAGAATCTTGCATGGTTTAAATAGAACAGAGTAACATTCGTTCTGTTAATGATGTAGGCCAAACTTATCCTTTACCACTGTGAATTTCAATGTTAGATTTTAATCATTTTCGTTTTCACAACCGAAATAACAACAGTCTGTATGATCACTAATTGCATACAATACATGTACTGTACAGTACTGTAAATGACAGCTTTTATTGCCATTGTTGAAAGTCACCAGCATATTATATATATTATATATCAATTTTCAAAAATCGAACTGCACATAAAAGATACTATATATGACATTGTGTTGTAACAGTTATTAAAAGTTATTCTCAACTTGTACTGTACTACATTAGAAAGGCTAGTATTGTATATTATTAATGAAAGAAATGACAGGATACAGTACTGTATTTAATTTGCTTAAAATACAATTTATGTTTGGACCACACTGTATTGCCATTTTAATATGGCTTGAGGAAAAAAATAAAATTGTCATTGTGGAGTAATGAAACAACAGTCAGAGTTTGTAGTATGGACATTTTTTATTTAATGGTACTCTTTATAAACTTTCATGTATTTATTCACATTTACAACATAAACAACAAATTGTAGGTTTGTTTTTACAGTATTTCTACAACAATCGTAATCACCATATACAATATTTTGTTTTTGGGAAGTGGAGGGGGAAATGAATATAATACAATACAGTAATCCTATTATATAATGTACAAATGCTTTCAATATTTGTATAATTGTTATAAGGAATTTAATAAAATTTGAGATTTAAACAATGTTGAAATATCAAAGATATTGTATAAGAAATGGCAGTCAGTTTACCCTCTGAGACAAATGTAATATTTTTTGTTCATGATTAATTTTGCTTGAGTCGCACAATAATTAAATGTTAATTTATGCAAAAATTAAGTAATGATTCAGCTGAGTTGTCTGTTGCATAATAAACAATAAAATACTTGTTGATACCAAAACATCTGAAAATGCCCTAAAACCTTAATATCTTGCTATAGAAATCCGTAAATTGATTACAGTACTACCGGTTGAAATATTTTTGTCAATAGAATAAGTTTAAGTTACTCTAATGCATTAAAGAAAAAAATTAAATGTGGATTTCTTTGTATATTTAAGTAATTACCTTTATTAAAAATTTATAGAGAGAGAAATTTACCACTTAAAAGATGCATAAATAATTCCTTTTCTATATGCTTTGGATAAGTCATTTTAAAGCCTTGTCCAAAATATAAAATTTTATTTGACAAAAGCATGTGACGCCCAAGTATGGTCATGATGACATCACATCATGACCATATATAGGCACATTGTGACTATATATGGGCATACAATCAGTGTTTTTGGTGAAGAAAATTTGATAACCTGGAAAGAGCCTAAAGATTTTGTACATAGCAATAACTGAATTGTTTTACTGTAACATTGAAAGTAGATAACTTGAATGATTCTTTGCATGATTTAAAGTTTTCCTTGATATTTAGGTCTAGATTTTATTCTAAATTATAATAAAAAATTTAAATACTTTAACAATATTTATTTATTATTTGACATTGTAAATAGGGTCAGTATTGTATTTGTATTATATTATTACAAGTTTGGTAATTCAAAATGCTAAATAATAAATGAATATGGAAAAATTAAATTGTTGCACTCTGTGTAGTCAGCATGGTAATCTATTTTATGTTTTTAATATTATAATTTTGTCAAAATTTTACAAACTTTAATAAAGGAGATCCTAAGAGATGAATGATGGGAGCACATTTTGACTATCAATTTTGCAAATTTTATTGCAAAAATATTTTTTTTCGAATCCAGATCTGCCCTGGATTTGCATGCTGGGTGAAATAGCATATTAATCATAATGCAAAGTCCCATGAATTAAATGCAAACATTATACAACTTAAATAACTAATTATATAACTTGTTATAAGTAGATTTTTTGGGGTATGCTTTGTGTTCTACAGCACACCTAATATTGCAACGTTTACTATTTAATGAAAGCATGATGGGAAGGTAATGATGGCTGGCTAGTAAACATTAAATGGAGCCACATCCTGGCTGAACCATACTAATACATACTATGAATAATAGGATTAAAATGTTGACACGAAAAGTGCCAAATTTGGTTACAATTCTTCTGAAATCTGAGGATGTGTCATGCATGCTTCAAATAGGCTACAATCTATTTTTAGAATAGGAAAACAGACCCATTTTGTAGTTATTCTTACAATGTAACATAAAATCATTAAAATACATTTATGTATAATTTACTACTGAAGATGCTGATTATGATTACATTAAAAGCTATTTTAATTACTTGTTTAGGAATGCAATGGATCCAGGGAGTGGCAAAAGAGGAATCTAACCAAGCGTAAAATAGTTTAGATTAAAATGGCTAAAATTCCAAAGTTTCAAGTGGCCATAACTCCTAGGACCCAACTAAAAGGAAGGGGACACCCCTCTACACCGTCCCCATTTGACCAGAGTCCTCGATTGGTGCTGCATGCACCATGCAGAAACATCCTGGATACACTCCTGCAGTGGCATCTGTTTTAACATTAATAATTGGAAAATACTATCATAATTTCTTGTTTTCCTTGCTATTCTTGCTAACGACATCTGAACTTGCTCTGAAACTTGAGAAGCTCTGTCGGTGATGCTGTAATGCATCTGCTCGACTGTGGATGTCATCGAAGTGGAAGATCTCACCTGCACCTTCAGATGCGTCTTGGTTCAATTGGCCTGTCAGATTAGCTTCTATTGTCTCTTGACCAGACATGTTCTCTGTTAAAACTACATGATCAGAATTAATGGCATCAGCGCCCTCTATGATACCATTACTTTGATGATTGTCTGCAATGACAGCATCTCTACAAAGACTCTGTACTGAGTTGGCAGGTTCAACCTGATCAGAGGAGTTCAGTAATTTCTTATTGTTTGTGTCTTCTTTTACATTTTCATTATTCTGGTTCCCCAGATTACCGGAAAAAGCTGGTTTGGCAGGAGCATTGGCAGGATTTGTGTATCCTTTCATGCTTGATTCATATGATGGAGGTGGTGATATCAGAGAGTTTCCGTTCTGGTTTGCACTTGTATTGGGTTTGTTAACAAGAGACTGTGGTGTTTCGCGTACTTTGCTCTGTGTACCAGTTGCAACAGAAGCATGCTTCCGTTGATCTTGATAAATAGTTGTTAATTTTGGATTTTCACTGGAAGAAAGAAAAAGAATGCAGTTAAAGTTTTTCTGACTAAATATTTAATTATCATTATTTAATAAGGATGATTGAGTTGTAATAACCTTTCACTATATATTTCCTAATCATCCAAGGTTCTTTGTTTTTCATGACGTGCATTGTGACATTCATTAAATCTAGTATTATATTATCATCATCAGTCAATTTTATTACAGTATAAAAACCTCCACATTCAGTGAATAGAAAGCAGAAAAAAAGGAGGTGGAAGTACTTAGTGGCAAAGGTCATAAAAAGGAAGTGATGTCATCAGAATCCTGTTGCCCTCCTTGACTTCACTTTTAAAGAACAATTGCAATCTAATTTTTTAAATCAAAAACCTTATTCATTGGTGCAAGTCATATTTTTGAAAATATGATTCGACTTTAATTTATTGAATTCAATTTTCTGAATAACACTATTTGTTTTTGTGAAGACATCACCAGAACTCATGTTTGTTAGAAACAATCCTTGTTCTTCATATCATCCACATTTCTAATACATATCATCACCCAAAGACAGTCAACACTATTTGTTCTTGTGAAGACATAACCAGAACTCATGTTTGTTAGAAACAATCCTTGGTCTTCATATCATCGATTACAGTACATATCTTCCTCTAATTAAAGATCACCTCCAATTAAAGACCATTTTTCTGTGGTAGCCAAATATAAAACAACTGTCTTTTATCTTCATTAGTCCAGAGACAAAAACTGCTAAAGACCATGCAAAACCTGATCCCAAAAGTAGTCTTTAGTTGGAAGCAGACCTGTATTTACAATATAGATCAGTACTATTTTATGAAAATTATTTTACTTTAATTTAAAATACAATAAAAAATAACAATTAAAGAAATAGTCTCAAATTAAAGAATTGAAATTAAATTATCAATTTCAACTACGAATTTTAGGAATTATCTTAACCATTGTCTTCAATGACACTGAACAGTGATATCATGCATTATTCAAGCATAGCCAAGCTTTAGCTTTGGAAGTGTTACATGGTGTTATCATGATACCTTCATACAATGTTGAAATCATTCTGATACCATGCCTTCAAGCAATGCCTTCAATTAAACACCCACCCTCTTCTTAAAATGGATAATTCAAATCATTTATTTAATATAAAATACCTCTCCTAACCTCCATGCACACTTAAGTGTTGAAATTAAAGCTTTTTTGTGCCATGCTGCCAAGCCATTCCATCAATTAAACATCTTCCCCATTCATACAAATATTGATTTAAACTACTCATTCATATAAAACCCAATTTCATCCATCATGCATTTACATGATTTAATTACTCTCATGCCATTAAAGAATTAAACTCTCTGATACCATGTTTTTAAGAAATTCCCAATGAATTAAGAAACATCTTTTCCCTTTTGTAAAAAGATTGACTAAAGTCATTTGATCATATAAACCACCTCCCCTACTTCCCAAGCATGCATATGGCAATCACTAGGCTAGCCTGTGACGCTGCATGCGAAGCTCATTTGTATGATCACCTTTCCTCATCATCCATTAATTGGTCATCACTAATGATATCCTCCCCTTCCTCATCTTCTGTATCAAATTCTCTAACGAAATAAAGAATGAGGTGTAACTCCTAAACACCAATGATCAATAACAACATTAACAGTAAAAAAACAGCAAGAATGGAATGATGTAACATGAGGTCATGACCCATTAAAGCTGCTGTATTTGATTGTGGAACCCAAATGGAAAAATTTATTCAAAGTTTGTAAATTATCCTACAGTCATTTTTTTAAAACTTAACTAAATAAATCACACCAACTCAATTACAAAGGTTATTGTTCTATTTAGTGAAGATCAAACTTCTTTACTTATTCCTCCACTTAAGCCGTGGAAGTATTGTACTTACATGTTCACTCCCCACTTCATCTCAAGAAGACTCTTCAGATTCGGCAACGTAGCTCTCAGGTCGGAAGTACTAAGCCCAAGCGAATACCTTAATTGTGCGATGTTTCGATTTAACAGATAAACAGCATACCGGAACTGAAAACGCTCCTTGCCTTTTGTATATAAGGGAAAACTAAGAAAACAGAAAAATAACAAAATCCAAACTTACAAAAGTATACAGTAATTAATTCATCAGCTTTTTATAAAGACTAAAATAGAAATTATTTCAAGTGTTCATCGCATATAACGTTTTTTATATTCTTTGCATAAAACCTTTTTTTGATGACAAATTAAATTCTTTTCTTAGGAAAGTCTTTGAACCAGCAAAAGCTAAATTGTGTTGAACTTAGTTTTTTTACTTACTCTCTATCTTTATCGGCAAGCACTTTGGTTATATGATCTTTAATGACGGAACGGGAGCTGAGATGCATCATGGGATACCGTGAGGGTACGACTTGTATGTGCGATATCATCTGCAGCAAGTGACAAGTGTGGCCGAGGGCGACTGCAATCGTCATGTCGTCTGTGCCTAGAATAAACAATACGTTTTACATATTTTATTTTGGATGGATGGATTTATTCGGTGTAAACACCAAGGATAACCAACGAAAGTCTGAAGAAGTAATACGGCAGTACACCGAGAGACAATTCCCTACTCTTTTCCGAAGTGTATAGCATTCTTTGATGTGCACATGGGCCATAATGCACACAGGACTAATGACTTAAATGTCTAATCAGAAAAATGGTGCGCTATCGTAACCAACCCTCCAGCTGGAGGAGGATACAAAGAGAGATCAGCGATGGGATTTGAACCCAGGACCAACGCACACACAGTGGCTACCACCATTTTAGCTGATTGAGCTAATCTGCTCTCTGCACTGAGCTAAGCTGCTCTACTTTATTTTATTCTGAACCTAATTGGAAGGCTGGATAAATTTTTGGCACACACTTCACCGACAGATGCCAGCTGATGCAATTGCATGTTGAACGTATTGTAATCGATTATTTCTAAATGATGATCTGCTCATCCATCCACAAACAATCGGCAGACAGCAAGTGGTTATACAAATGTCAGCCGATGCAGCACTACCACCACCGTCATCACTATGACCACCACCACAACCATCACCATTACCACCACCACAATGGTCATCACAAATATGAATACACCACCATCCCTCTTACCTGGATAATCCTCTGCATTAGGTAATTTAACTCCCAGAATGGAATAGGTGTGATCCTGCTGCTCTACGATTGGATAAATGTCAGATAACTCACCAATCAGCTGACGTTTTCTTGTTGTTAAATTTCGACTTGTTTCACTCAACAATTCTCTACAAAAAAAAAAACTGAAGCATATTAATATCTGCATCACAATCAATATTTAAAAAAACATATTTTATTAATTTTTCATCAGTTTGAAACAACAGAAATAGTATATTTACCTTCTTTTATACAACTCGGCTTTTCTTTCCTTCAACCGTTCCTTATCCTTCTTAAAATTCTCCTTAGTTGTGGCAAACTTATTTACTATGTGGAAAAAGCATTAATTTAAAATTAAATCTTAAAAAAAATTAAGGCAGATATATAGCAACATCTGGTCTATCAGTGTCACTGTGCTTAAAGACAGCGTTTCACCAGCCATGGTTATGGGATTAAAGACCAACAATTCAGATCTTCTGGAAACTTCCATGACCCAATATAGATACTGTAGGTGACAGAATGTGTCTGGGTGAAGATAACAGACCCTTCCAGAGTGTCAATCAAACTTAACAATTGACCAATCAGAGCAGGTGTATTCCCACATATGCACATGTTCACATGTATTTTATGGGACCTTAACAACAATATCCAAGGGGTGGAGCTTAGACCATTGTGTGCTACAACTTAAATACTCCAAAACTGGTATGGGAAGGTTGAACAACATGCACGATGGCTTATGAATACACTGACAAGGAAAATTTATGAGTATGTTGTGTTCTTTGGCAAAAGGTGCTATAACAATTTCTTCTTAGATTCAGATTTCTTTGTGGTGGCAGCATTGCTAGAGACAAATATGCCATCAGAGCTCTTGACTGAGGTCACAGTGCTAAGATGTTTAAATACCATGATTTCTGAATATTAAATTTATTTCTGATGTAACTTGTAATTGCAGGCCTTACCTTTGTCCTTTAATGAAGTCGCTGAGACATCAGCCTTTTCTTTTTCAGCTTTCAGTAGCTTTCGTTGATGGCGAACTTCATTCCTTAACATGGACACCCTTAATGCTAATGATTCCTTTTCTGAAAACTGGACAAAATTGGATTGGATTTATTTGGTGTGTATAAAATAGCGTAAGTATTTAGCACAGCTAATAATCCCAGATTTTCTTTTCATTTTAAATTGCAACACAATATTTTTCTTTCGGCCTAATGATATAAAGTCCAAATCCAATTTATATACTTACTATTTGTGTCTTATGTTGCGACTGTTGTAATTGTTGCTCTATTTTTTGTTGAACTTTACCAACGGAAACTTGAGTTTGTTTTATTGCACGCTGAGCTGTATGGACTCTGCAAAATAATCAAAATATTTAACTTTAAATTATGAATTAACCCTTAAATATGTAAAAAAAAAAACATGAGGTAGGATTAGAAGGTTCAAAAACACTGGGGAAAACAAGGACAGGGTCATAGGGGTTCGATTCCAGGGTGCAGGCAACTGGGGGTCAGACTGCACTTGGCAGGACCACAGGGTGTCAACCACAGCTGTACCATACTTGTCAGGACTACTGGGATCATGACAACATATGAAAGATGACTCACATCACATTTTGCAAGACCACAGGAAAAAGGCCCACTGGGCCATGGAGGAAGGGAAGCCCAGGGGACTACATTTTTTCCATAGTCTAAGACAAATTGAGTCAGTGAACATGTGCCCAACATTCCCCCATCATTATAGAAACAAAAAATATTAATAATATTGAAAATATAAATGTATAATTTACCTTGAAAGGGAATATGTTGTGTAACTCAAGCTTACAGAATTCTGCTCTACCTCTAATTTTTCGTCAACACCACTTCCATATGTTTGCTAAATAGATAAATAGTAAACAATATTTTACATATTTATGTGATTAGGTATGAAAAATAGTGGATGTGTTTCCAAAGTACTGTAACTTTTGAAAAATTACCATCACTTACCTTGGAAAAGGAATCAAACTTATTAATTAAATCTTGAAAATGGCTTTAAAATCATCATACAAATCATTGTTTTGGCTCCTCCTTAGCAATTTTTTAGTTTTGGAAAGCGCTGGTCCTTAGCTGTGGTTCTAATACAAGCCCAGTTTCAGTTTGAAATAACTTCTATATAATTAGCATTACTTACTATTGTCCTGTCCTTTTCTGAAGCTCCATAAAATCCATCAAACATTCCAAATATCAGTGAGTTTGGATGGTACTTTAAATTGTCATTATTAATCTGTAAACAAATTAAATTTGAAAATATATTTTTACTAATGTGTATATTGATGATTTTCTTCTCTTGCACTGTTAACACCATAATTGTTTTTACTAACATATTATTATTGTTTACATTATTATTATTATTACAGTTTAAGAGGCTGAAATATTGGTTATATGGCTATCTATTTTCTCCATGTTTGATCCAAATTTTCATAAATAAAATACAGGTCTAACTCTATTTAAAGACCATCCAATTAAAGACTGCTTTTCTGTGGTTCAATATTAACAAATGTCCTTTATCTTTATTATTCTACTTAGAAACCAAAGCTGCTAAAGGACCATGGAAACCCCAGTCCCAAAAGTGGTCTTTAATTGGAGGGAGACCTGTATTATCGTGGTTTATTTACATCATCATAATTATTATCATCTGTTCATTGTATTATTTCATTATTGCAAATAATATTATCACTACCAACACAATCACCACATCCACCAATAGAATTTGAAACTGTAAAAAGATGATCTTTCTTACGTATTCTCCTAGATAGCGTAACCCTTGCAAGTCCACTTTCCACTCTATGATCAGCTTGAACTGTTCGTTCCTACCGCCCCACACCCGAACCATGAGCCCAGGGAGGGCGGTATCAACATCATCACATGATCTGGACAGGTCAAAACTTCTCCATGTTGGGTTCTTAAGAAAAAAAAAAACAATTAAACATACTTTCTGAATTTGAGAGTTTGTTTCTATTTTTTTTATTTAGAATTCCCTTGACCATGGCAAAAAATGCTATGAAATGATTTGATGATTGTACATATGAAAGTCCTACACACTAATTATTCAAAGTGAAGAAATACATATAGCAATGTTTATTAGTCACAGAATGTACAATGTTATACTTCAAGAATAACTATGCAATGGATCATAAAAAGTATTATTAAAATCTCTTGAAAAATGTCTTTAAAATTTTTATTTAAGAGGCTTGGACCCCACTGGAAATAAGTCTTCTTCTAGACTTTCGTGGGCTATCCTTGGTGTTTACACCGAATAAATCCAATCCAATCCAATTCTTTCAATACAAAACCTTAGAATTAAGGGCCAGAAAAAACATCTGTTTTGGTTGTAAAAAGGAAACTGATGTTTCGTCAGTACTAAACTCAGGTTTTATTACTTTCAGTTTTATTGTTAACAATGGCAGAATATATAAAAACTTACAATATGATGAAGGAAGCATTTATATTAATGCTTGTGGTACACCAAGTAGATAGTTCTGAAAAGAACTGTTGCTTGTCTTTTCAGAACTATCTACGTGGTGTACCGCAAGCATATATATATATACTACACAAACTCCAATTTATATTTACTAAGGAATTTTTAATTGACATTTATTACATTTATAAACAATTCTATGTTATGTGCAAAAAATATCTCAGAATTTATTTCTTGACAAAAAAGTTGATTTGTATCGTGTATATATCATTACTTCGCCATGCAAACCTTCAAACAGCATGAAAGAAACAGATAAGATAAATGAAGGCGGGCATATTACAACCATATTCGACTGTATATTTAAAGGTCAAGGGTCAAATCTTGCACTACTACACTAATTTGATTCATATTTAGAAAGAAAAAGAGAATTAATGGTAATGTGTCAGTTAGTTAAGTCATTTGTGCCAGCATTATTGGAACAACTGTTAAAATAATCCGCCTTGTGAAATAAAGTGAAAAACTGAAAAGAATATTTGTATTTAGAAATCCGTAAATCACTGAAAACTTAATTGTTATGTCACATTGAATCTTATTTGATAATATTATTAAATTTTCATATTAGGGTTTTTTTTCTAATTTTTATCATAGCCACTTTATATTTTGGTCAGTAAATTATAAATGAAAACTAAACAAATTACATAAAATATTTCAGACACTTAGTAATTAATCAAATCTTACCAAAGAATCTAGTATCTTTTCACTGACATAGATTGCTGAAATATCAAAAAAAGTACACATATCATTTTATCAACCTTTACAAACATAAAAATAAAAATTGCAGATAGGAAGTAAACAAAAAAGTGGATTGGGTTCTGTACAAATTGTTGTTTATGTTAATATATTTAGGTATGCAACTTAAATTGAAAATATACTGTAAATAAATGTTTTTTTATTTTATAAATTCATATTAGGTGTGAGGGTCTGGATTGATCAACAATATCAGCATTGATTACGATGCTTTATAAAGATGGTCAATGAATCAATAAATAGTTTTTATTTATTTAATTTAACGTCAAACCAGCACAGAAAATTCCAGTATGAGAATATGCCCTAGTCGCTGACTGGCTATTAAATTATACAGCATCCTGATCAGCATCAGTTGATGAAAAATTAATAATTAATTAGCTCTGCATAATCACCTTGTTGACTAGTGAATGTGTGTAGTGTGAAGTAAGTTTCCATTAATGCATCCTTTTCTCCATTAGATTTATCTGCCTGAATATTTCTTGCAGATAAACTTCGCAAATGCCGAAGCCGTCGCTGGAAAAAAGAAAAATCAATTCATGAATTAAAAAGTTATAATTATAGGTTGATTTTTTAGTAATTTTAGGTGGGTATAGATAGGAAATGTATTTTTTGCCCAGTGATACATTAGGAATGCAATAAAAATTGTGCAAAAACTAGGTATAAACAGTGTCTAACTTATCCTAACTTTTCATGAATGGCCCTTTACTTTAAGATTTCTTTGTCTAAATATATGCGCCAAGTATTAGCCTTTGCATGTTTTAGTATTACTAGTATCATGTAACTCTATGGGGAAGAGTCAAAACACTTCCTAGCAAACTCACCCCTTACAATCTCGTCCCCTATGTTAGGGAGGAAAGTTTGTAGAGGGCAAGAAGGCTGAAATCCACTCTAGAATTCGTTTAATAAGGCTGGTGTAACAATAGCCATTGCTATAAATTTACAAAACAGGACACTTTCTTTCATTTTCATAATTCAAAATTATTTTTCATGAACCATAATTCATTCATTCATATACCATTATTGATTCATTCATAAACCATATTCATAATTCATAATTCATGTTCAAAACATTTAACTTAGGCATAGGCCTAGACCACGTTGAGGTATGTTAGCCTAGCCTAGTCCCTATGCCCTAGACTTCAATTTGTAGATAGCGCCCATTGGAGAGAGGCCAGGCTCTTCTACGGGCTTAGGCCACTTCTCAGGACGGTGATGGTCTCGGCGGCGGTAGTACACTCAATCGTTCGTACCGCGTAGGCTAGGCTAGGCCTAAACAGATCTATTTAAAGCATGATGCCTTATATTATATATAACCATTGTAAATACAAATAGCACACCTGCTGTGTTGCAAGATTTACATGCACAAGCCTTCCAATACTTTCAGAATTGAACATTTCTTAGGCCAAACAAGATCAAATTAAGAAGATTTTAGCGTCAGAAAGCACCATATCCGCAACATTTATTTACGGTGTAGTTCTTCCTCTCAGTAAACTTTGACATAAGTAGTCTTTATTTAACATGCTGTCTAGCAGTTTGCTATCTTGTAATTGCATATAAGAAACAATGCGTCTGGATAATAAACTCTATTATCACTATCAGGTGACACCTACATCATGTGCTTTTTCCGTATGGAACACAACAACAACCGAAAGCCTAGCACAGTGTCAGTTTTGTTGAATAAAATATCAAAAGCATTGTCTCTGGTCGAAACAAAACAGTTTTTATAAAGCGGTATTTGTTTTATAGAGAGACAAGAATCTAGCAATGGTATGCAATATTTTAATTGTTTAAGATTTGAATAGGAAACTATATGACGTTTTGACCCAGCAATTTTGCCAATTTAGTATCGATATGGCTACTCCTGGATTTGGTGCCTTGGGCCTTGGCCTAAGCCCAACAGCACCAGTTTCATTCAAATGGATGGGCCACGTACGCCATACTAGCAGTGACCCAGGGCAGAGAGGAATTGATCGCTGACTTACTGTACCCTATGTGCCGGTTCAATTTAAACATACCCCTGAGATTTTCGAATGTAATAAATTAGTAAAATAAATATAGTTATTTTATACTAGTAATAACAAGATGAAAGATTGAAGATACAACTCCCTGATATAACTGAACAATGAATAATACAAAAACATTTACCTATTTATATAATTTTTACAAAGCAATATTTTATAAATATTATCCAGATATGTTGTATTGTTTTGTATCACGTTTACTTTAAATAACAATTTATATTTTAAATACTGAATAATTCTGTAACTAAATATTAGTGTACCACTGGTATTTTTGTTTTTCGTAGAGTGGACCAGGGCCACATAATCTTGAACGAATACCAGACCAGCTCGGCTATCTCATCATGAAAAGTGATGGTGCCGTTATGGCAGTAAGTCTTCACATTTCAACATCTAAAATTGTTTTATTGTTTATGAGTTTATCAATCATTTCCCTTCCATAATATCGTCATTGTCAAAACTGTCATTTCACTATCATTATCATATTCATGAGATATAAATCTAAAATTTCTTTGATTTTTTAAAATAAGATACAGTATATTGTTCTATTTAGACAGTGGTTTCATATATTTATATAGTTGTTTTTATTCTTGAATATAATTTTTGTATTCAGAATGAAGAAATGAAAAAAAATGTAATCATATCCATATTCACAGTTAAAGGCTCTGTAAAAAAGTAGTTTGTCATCATAATTTATCAGAGTTTACTTTATTAAATAGAATTAATTAAAAATCATCATCTTCGTCACACCAAAATTATCACCATCATTACTTATATTACATTCATGATCACCACCATCATCATTAACATTATAATTATAACCACCATTAATCTTCCTAGTTTACACTTTGGGATTGGGAACAGCACTGGGATTGTCTTGACCCTGGCTCAATTACATGTTTACACTGACGCTGCATGTCAAATGCGGTTGTTTCCAATGAGATGATGGATAAGAATTACTGATTGCTGCAAAATTGTGATCAGTTTTACTTGTTTCTGCCTACTTACACTGTAAATTTTAATTTTGTTTTTATTTTTACACTTTTTATTTTTGTGTATACACTTAAGTTGTTTTTCCTTAAAGAGTAAAGAACATGGTAAATTTTATTTTTGTTTTTATGTTTACACTTGTGTTAGTTATGTGTATAAATTTATTTTAATTTTTGTGTTTATATTTATTTAATTTTTGTGTCTACACTTACGTTGTCTTTCCTTAAGTATAAAGAAGCTGCATGTTATAGTTATCAAATATTCTACAGTATGCATATATTGTTGAAATGATAACACACTGTTGCATTCACTTCAACATGGTTGATTGCCTTTTGTAAACAGAGCTCAGGTGAGATGGAGAATGACGAGAGGACGGCTGGAATACTGATGACGATGGTGCAAATGGCAGGCCAAATTCACTTCGCAAATGATAAGGAAGAACACTTCAAAAAGTTATCAGGTTTGTAAAGAAATAAATCCTATAATATATTTATTTTTTAAATTTTTTTTAATTATTAAAACAAAATATTTGTTTATTAAAATAATTTGTAATTTGTATGGAATACATTTATGCTAGAGGTGCTAAAGGTAGTTGAGTTGATCACTTTTTGTTTTTATAATCTAGGGTTTTTAAATTATGTCTTGTTGACAATGCATATCAGAGAGAGAACTTAGTATTTTGTGATAGAAAAACCATGCTACTGTGTTTTGAAGCTTAAAGAAGAAATTTCATATTTCACAAGATTATAACTATTTAAAGGAAGGAAGTTAAATAGTGTGAATGCTATGGTTTTACTGTAAAATAAGAAAAGAAATCCTATATTTAAAAGATATTAGAACTACAGTTTTAGTCTAAATTAATTAGAGATTACATTGGCAATACCATAGTTGAGTTTACTGCTGTTTGTTATAAATGTATGTAAATCTGTTGGTTTCTGTCAATAATTTCTGATTTTTTTTAGTTGTCTTTGAAGAATTTCTCTACATGGTCACCATATCAAGCCAGAAGGTGTATGTGGTCAAGAGGCGTTACAATCCGCAGGAACCAATCACAGCATAGCATACAGATGAGTTCTATGGTACAGTCATGTGAGTTGGCGTATGAAAGCGCCTTCTCCGAAATAAGTGATTAGTAATTAATTGATAAGGGAATATATTTCCATTAGACAATATGTGGAATTTGATTAAATGAGTAAACATTGTAATTTGTGGGTAGGTTGATACTATCCAGGAATTTGGGCCAAAGGTTGTGTAAAGTATAAGTTATACTGTACATGATACCTTCAGCTGCGGTGCCAGAGATAAAACGATGATGTGTCCAAAGGCAGAGGGTCCAAAGTCCTTCACAAGGTGTCCGGGATTCCTGACAGGGAGTTTACTGCTCAATCAGACTCATCTTGGTTGGAGCAATTTTTTTTTAAGGAAGCTTTCTGGAGTGTCAATCAAACTTACCAACTGACCAATCAGAGAACAGCTTATGTTTTAACACTCATTTTGTGGGACGTTAGCAACAATATCTAGGGGGCGGGGCTTAGAGGAAAGGTCAATTCTTTTGTGACCCATGATATTCTTATTATCAAAATTTCTATGATGATGTGTTTCAATTTAATTGTAGAGCCAATAGTGCCTCTCTTTAAAAAAAAAAAAAAAAAATTGACTCAGTATTTATTTGCTTCAAAAGATGGGAAGGGAATGAGAGACTGAGGTGGATGTGCCACAGTAGCATAGAACATATACAACTAAAAAAAAAATGGAGGCCATGACTTAAAAAAAAAGAAGGTTTTGGTAGATAATAGAACAATTCAGTGCTGGTTCCAATAGGAAAGAGATGAGTCACAAAGACTATCAGAATTTTAAAATTCATTTTGAAATCGTGACACTGTCTCATAATCAGGCCCCAATGTGTAAATAGCCATTACTTTTTTCTAATTGCTGTACTGCCTATTATTAATGTAGAGTATTATTAAAGTAAGATTAACATACAGTAATATATAGGCCTATTGGTAATAAAACATTGTAAAATGGTATATAGCATATTATTATTTTTTTTATAAAACCCAATGAAAATATATTTTTGAGCTTTTGTTGGGTGTCCAGGAAAAATCCATTTTGCTCTCATCCAGTCTAAATATTAATATGTTTGATATTTTATGAGAGATGAATGTATCAGCTTCAAAATAAAAAAGATTGCGCAGCCATAGTGATTGACAGTATGTAGTGCGCATTGAGAAAAGAAGGTGCTCTCCATTTCGTCATGTTCAATTTTTTGGCGGGGAACACATGGGACTTCAAAGGCATCGCGCAAACGTTCTTTACGCGCTGCGGCAACTTTTGATCTTGGTTCATTTGCATAGCGCTGCGTGCGCGTAGCTTTGCCGAGTGATCTCCTTCTCAATAATACCTCCATGGGCAAACCAAGGAAGAACACTACTAAACACTAATACTAAACACATGGCTTTATTCCTAGGCCTAGGCCTAGAGGCTAGGTCTAGCCTAGGTATCATCGTTCGTTCGTACATACGTTTATTGAGCGTTACGTACGTATTAGGTCAAAGGTTACCACAAATTTAACCCAACCTCTATTTTACGAATCCCCCGATTTACGTACGCCCTCTGGTCCCGTACCGTACGTAAAATCGAGGTTCTACTGTACCATAGTTGAGTTTACTGCTGTTTGTTATACATGTATGTAAATCTGTTGGTTTCTGTCAATAATTTCTGATTTTTTTTAGTTGTCTTTGAAGAATTTCTCTACATGGTCACCATATCAAGCCAGAAGGTATATGTGGTCAAGAGGCGTTACAATCCGCAGGAACCAATCACAGCATAGCATACAGATGAGTTCTATGGTACAGTCATGTGAGTTGGTGTATGAAAGCGCCTTCTCCGAAATAAGTGATTAGTAATTGATTGATAAGGGAATATATTTCCATTAGACAATATGTGGAATTTAATTAAATGAGTAAACATTGTAATTTGTGGGTAGGTTGATACTATCCAGCAATTTGGGCCAAAGGTTGTGTAAAGTATAAGTTATACTGTACATGATACCTTCAGCTGCGGTGCCAGAGATAAAATGATGATGTGTCCAAAGGCAGAGGGTCCAAAGTCCTTCACAAGGTGTCCAGGATTCCTGACAGGGAGTTTACCGCTCAATCAGACTCATCTTGGTTGGAGCAATTTTTTTTTAAGGAAGCTTTCTGGAGTGTCAATCAAACTTACCAACTGACCAATCAGAGAACAGCTTATGTTTTAACACTCATTTTGTGGGACGTTAGCAACAATATCTAGGGGGCGGGGCTTAGAGGAAAGGTCAATTCTTTTGTGACCCATGATATTCTTATTATCAAAATTTCTATGATGATGTGTTTCAATTTAATTGTAGAGCCAATAGTGCCTCTCTTTAAAAAAAAAAAAAAAAATTGACTCAGTATTTATTTGCTTCAAAAGATGGGAAGGGAATGAGAGACTGAGGTGGATGTGCCACAGTAGCATAGAACATATACAACTAAAAAAAAAATGGAGGCCATGACTTAAAAAAAAAGAAGGTTTTGGTAGATAATAGAACAATTCAGTGCTGGTTCCAATAGGAAAGAGATGAGTCACAAAGACTATCAGAATTTTAAAATTCATTTTGAAATCGTGACACTGTCTCATAATCAGGCCCCAATGTGTAAATAGCCATTACTTTTTTCTAATTGCTGTACTGCCTATTATTAATGTAGAGTATTATTAAAGTAAGATTAACATACAGTAATATATAGGCCTATTGGTAATAAAACATTGTAAAATGGTATATAGCATATTATTATTTTTTTTATAAAACCCAATGAAAATATATTTTTGAGCTTTTGTTGGGTGTCCAGGAAAAATCCATTTTGCTCTCATCCAGTCTAATACTCGCGAAATTTTCTTTAAGTGATGCTTAAGTGAGTGGTAATGTCAAACAATAGCTCATATTATATATGCATTAGTGCTACAGAAAACAATTAAAATATATTTGGAATCAGACTTGTTCTTTATCCCTCAGTAGTTTAACTGCTGTTGTACATTGTACAATACTGTGTCTTATAAGATGTAGGTACATAAATGTTATTTTATTACTATTTGTTAAGAATGAAATTATAAGAAAAGTACAACATAGGTATCAAAGGTATGTGCTTGTATCTTGTGAAACACTTAAATTTGCCTATGCTTCAGATGGCCATTGGTCATAATATATATTATATTTGGAAATGAGTAGGTGGTTGCTGTTACATTTCCTCATGTATAATGTAATTGTTGTTCTTCGTATCGTGTCCACACACTTGCTAGATACTTTGTTTCAGACAGAGCTGGACACATTTTCTAGCACAATCAATACTCTGCCAGGAGCGATGTCGATTTAGTTCTAAAAACTTGACAATACGATCCTTGAGTATAGTGGTAAAAGGATTGGTAGGAACAAGGCTGCGACATAAACGCTCCTTTCTTGACAGTATGATTAAAATGATAATCTTGAATTGTTTGTGAGTGGAATGTAATTGTTGTTGTATCCAAGTACTGTAAGTAAATCCTTGCCAAGCCACTAGGCCCCATAGGGCTGGGGCTTATCCCCAGTTTCAAGTAGTGTGATGCTCTCCTTGTGTGGAATGCTAGTCCACCACAGGTTACTCCCAGCAATTTTCTGGTGCCCATTGATACAGCTGGGTAGGCTTAAGCAATGTAGATAAAGTGCCTTGCTTATGGATACAAGCAAAATGCACAGAGAAGGATTGAAACCCTGACCTCGAGGTTGGGAAACCAAACTATTTCTACTGCGCTAAACCGCTGTATATAAGCCTATGATAATAAAATTTTGGGCTGTGTTTATCTTTGGAACTGCGACTTGATATCAACAAACTTTCTACAGTATTAATAAAATCCACAATAAAAAGGACGGCGATTTGTTTGTACCTCAAATCATTTTATTCATATGCAGTAAAAATGTAGTAATTTTATGATATAAACCATAAAAAGAAGAAACTATTAAATTCTATATAAAAAGTACCATATTTTCATAGTAATGAGATGAAAGACGACATATAAAATTAATACCCCATCAATAACTGTAAAGGAAAAATAAATGCTACCAATATTAATTGTTTAATATCAAACATACATATCAAAATTGGAAAGTAAAAGTGGTAGGTTCATACGGCACACTAGACACTATTGTACACCGCCCTCAATGTTGGGCTACAGAGACAGGGGCTTAAATCCCTAAGGCTGGCGATTATGTTCTACAATACTTGTGAGCACAGACATGGCTAAGTAGTATTTTTAAACAAATATATCATGTAAATTTTCATTTAAAAAATTATAACTTCAAAAAAAGCAGTATGAATAGGTTGTAAAAATCATTAAAAAAAAAATTAAAAAAAAACACCATTTCTGTAATATATATGATAGTACACACTTGCCTCTGTTCTTTACGGTAACAAAATTTACGAATAAATAAAAAACAATATAAAATAAAAAATAGATCTGGGAATGCTGATATGTGGTATTTTACAACCAATTGCTTGTGTTTGCCATATATGGATAACTAAGCTAAAATAATATCTTTAATATAATAAAATAACCGATCTTCTTTTAAACATAGTACTGAAAAACAATTTATGTACTGTTAACATTAAGCATTGCACTAAAAACAACAAAAAAAACAACAAAAAATGGCATAAACATACTGTAATGTAATATATAACTGGCAACATAACATTAGGCAATTTAATACTTAATACAATTAACATACCTGTTATGACAATACAACACTTAGTTTTTATCTCTTAACATATAAAACAATATAACATAAATGTAATTGGGGGGATTGGAAAAAAACAATTATTGCAGTATTAACTCATATAATCTAATTAAAAATTCATAAAAAACTTAGTGGCATTTGGGACCAATACAGTAGTCATATTTAATTTGAGATTACGTTTGTGAAGCAGGAGAGTTGAATATGTTGTTATTATGAGGTAGAGAGTTCAATATTTTAGCAGTGTCTGACTTAAAATGAGTATGTTAAGTTCTCAATAAAGTTAACATAATCATATCAAGGAACGTCAGATTTGCAGAAATGGTAAAACCTAGGACGCAATGACATCATGTAGAGCCATGTACCTGTGTGAAGACTTGAGTTCTTGTTTTCTGAATTAAGACAAGTTTTGGTTGACTCTACATTGAGTAAGAAATCGAGGGTGGTCATGGATGTGTGAAGTCATCCTATCTGCATTTTTTCAAATTTTAATTTTCATCCTGGATGGCTCTTATTATTTTAAAAATTATATAAGGAGAATCAAATTATACACATAAGAAAGAATACAGAGATGGGGAGGGGGAGGGAGAGACCACCCAAGAAGTAAAGTAGATGGAACACTTAAGCTAAGCTTGTCTCCCTTGTGACTTGACTCAACAGAACTGACATCAACTGACCTCAACTACTTGCTGGTAGTGCTTACGTCGACTTTCACTAGCAAGTGCGCAACTACAAGCAAGGTAGAACTAGTTGACCAGAGTGCTTATGTCACTTCCAAATGTCTAATTCCCTACAACTAGTTGCCGTGCAATGCTACCATTATTCGATACAATTTTAGCGTAAACGGTATGTGCACAGTTAATAGAATAGAGTTACTGGGCTACAACTGTCATATGACCATTCAATCGCATGACAGCTGCTTTGGATAGCAGCAAAATAGAACATGGGTGACTGAGAGCAACTGGTAATCGTGGCTCAAATCGTACAACTCACAGTTGCTTGGCAGTTGCTGGCAAGTTGCCAAAGGTCAGTTGATGTCAGTTGAGTTGAGTCGATTCGCAAGGGCGACATTAAGCTTAGCTTTAGGTTAAAAATATTTTCACAGTAACAGAACCATAGTGCTTAATGTGTATTACCATAGAACACTATACAAACAAACGAAGTTCAAACTGCAAAAAAAAAAAACGTATTGAAAGTTAATGGATGAGTTGAGGGTTTAGAAAAATAGGTCACACATAACTAGGCATAGCCTAGAGTAAATTATACAAGTGTATATGATACTCTAAGACCCTTGGCACCTTGTCTTATGGTTATGAAATAATAAACACACATTTAAAATCGCTAGAATCTATTTCTACACTATTTCCTAGCCCTAATCATTTTCAATTTTAGTCATCCTCTCTAAAATCATGCATGCAATAATTTGTATCATAATGTCTGAATACAGAAAAACATGAAAGCCAGGTCAATAGCAAATTAAGACTTTGATTAGTCAACTGAAGTCAATATGGAATACAACATAGGCTGTATGATTTGTTTGTTTACATGCATTGACCTTCGACATGAACATGCACACTGAAACAACAAGGTGGTTAATGAGTTTTTAGAACCATGTACTGCAGTTTTCCAAAGGTCTATAAAATACTTATGGTAACCCAGAATTGCATATTTCTTACTCTAAAATTTTCAGCTAAGTATTAAAATTCTAATCTAAAGCATTCAAGTTGAATCTTGGATATAATTATTGCATGCATTTTGATAAAATATAAATAAAATCTGTAATACACATTAGTTGCAATCTTTCCATATAATGGAATAATTCATAATCATTAACCTTCTTAATTATTCATTACTAATTAACTAAATGTTTCTTTTGGGAGTTTGTTTCTGTATCATCTCACCATGATTTTTTTAAATATTGGCAAATTATGAATACTTAATATTATGAGCATGAAGTAAATAATAATAATAATACTCATATTAATACAGTAATTATTTAATAATCATTACTATATTATTCAAAAGTGTTATTAACATTTTTATTAATTAATAAATATTTTAATTCCAATAAATTTAATTACCGTTTAATTCACCATACTTTTTCTAAGTAATCTTCCTTACTAATTTTTGTTCCAAAAAGCACCTTCCCTACACTGAACAACAAATATCATTATATTACATTACTATTATAAGTAATAAATTGAATTACCATTTTATTCACCATACTTTTTGTAAGTAATCTTCCTTACTAATTTTTGTTACAAAACGTACCTTCCCTACACTGAACAATAAATATTATTATATTATATTACTATTATTAATTAATAATATAATTTAATTAAAAATAATAATAATAATGGTGGACTCGTAAAATGCATATTTATATGCCCTTGAGAAACAAAAAATATATATCATTGAAACCCGTCTATGAAACAATCCTAAATACACATGTATCCCTAAAAGACTAATCAACTCCTTAAACTATATAATTGTTGTAAGCAGGGTTGGCCATTGCATATAGGAGCTCATTTGGCTTATTTTGGGGTTATGTATACATGCCCCCTCCCAAAAAAATAGTTGCTCCCCCAGTTGAGTGCTAGTGCCCCTTACTTTATCATGAAGCACCCCCCCAATTTACATTTGCTCCCCCAATATCCCCCATTTCAAGACTGCTCATCTGGCCTTTGTTCAAATTTTATGAGCTACTATAATTATTAATATTAGGAGAAAAAAAAATCTTCCTGAAAGTTCATTTTTAAGTGAATTCATTGAAAATATGATTTCTAAATTAATAAAGTAATATAAAACACTATACTGGCATATATACAAAATCCAGCTGATTTTGTAAAAATTACAATATCTGAATAAAACACCACTATTTTGGTTTCAATACAATTTTTCTGCTTTCATCTATACAGATATAACATAGTACGTTAATTTTATGAAAAATATCTAAAAATCATTCTATTATTGTACACAAGGATAGTTTATTAGCATTACCTGAGCTATTTTGGTTACAGTTTTAAGAAGCAAAATAATTGGAGGAGCCAATTAATAAGTATGCAAAATAAAAAAGGTCAATCAACGCTCATTCCATGATATTGTCTTCTGAACTACTGTACATCCTTATTATTATACAATGTTAATATTGGTAATTGTACATTAGGAAGATTTATCCTCTGAGTTTGTGGAAGCGTTTGGTGCAGTAGTTGAGGTTCTTGGACTCTCAATGTCGTGGTCAGGGGTTTGAATCATCTCGCTGTGTCCTTGGGCAAGACACTTTATCTGCGTTTGTCTCTCTCTACACAGCAGAATAAATAGGTACTGGCATATGCTTGGAAGGTAAACAGACTCACTGTGAGGAGGAGTGGCTATCCCTTCTTCAAAGCACTGCAGTCAGGCCCCAATGCTTACGAAAGAGGGATGGGCACTCAGGACCTGTACATGTTCGACTACCTTTACCTTTATCCTACCACTGAGAGTGACTCACCAGTTGTAGGATGAAAATTATACTGTATAAACTAAGCTTTTATGAGGCTTAGCAAGTGGAATTGTTTTTAGTCATGAAAAAAAAATCTTGATTCTTGAAAGGATTTGAACCAAGGACCCTGGGATTGGAAGGAAAGCATCATAACCACCAATTTGCAGCTACACTCAATAATATATAGGGCACACACATTTAATGTTGGGCTGTCAGTCCATGGTGGTTCTTTTACCATCATTTTAATAATAATATACAAACTATATTCTCCCTGGTATTATGTAGCTACAGTTAATAGTCTGCTTAGTTGCTAGGCAACCTCTAACTGCTTATAAATGAGTTTGTTTATCCATGTACTTAATTATTTGATACTTTAAAGCACTTGATTTGCACAGCAGTACAACAGATTTGATTAGCTACACATTAACAAGTATTTTATCACTTTACAATTTAAATTTACCAATTAGGTGGAAGGTACTATAATTGCTTGACAAGTATTCAGCTCTGCTTGGCCATAATATATACTTGGCACCTGCGCTTTGTTATCTTGTTTACGTTTAATGAGCCTTTCCTCTGGTTAGCTAACAGGTTGTCTTTCCTCGATATTATCTTTGGTATTCTGAAAAAGAATATATAATATTTCACATAAATAACTTGCTTCTGTAAAATATTAAATATATAGTATACAGTCATCAAATTATTAAACAAATAATCAATGTTTATGAGTGCAATGGGAAGAATATTTTCAATCAAAGTCAATCTTTCAACTCGTGAAAATATTCTTTTCATTGCACAAATAAAATACATTCATTATTTGTTTTATAACACACCGAATATAGATTCTTATCATTTGATATTTTATGAAAAAAATCTACTGTTTTTCTGAAGAAATTTTTGTCAATTTTTTATGAAACAAAATCTCCATTTTCTAAATGGAACAGTCCAGCACCTTTTTAACTAATCAGAAGATTATATTATGTTGAAGTCGTATCATATCTTAGGGGCTGTCCAATGGAGCAAAATGGATGGAACGAAAATGCATGGATGAAGGTAAAAAACTAAATTTTCATGATGAGTGATGAAATGGGGTAAATAACCAATATCATGTGATACGAAATCCACCAATCAAAAGACAAGGATCTATTAGGTGTGTTATAAACTAATCTATAACCTAATGTAAACTAGTCTATGACTTATTAAAAGTTGATAAAACCATGCGATAGTGTTTCAGTATATTTTAAAATTATTTTACTAACCATGGTTTAAATAATAGTAAATTAATATTTAAGATATAAATACACAAATATTGCTGATGTAATTATACTTTCTTTTGATATTATAAACTTTCTAGATAATCATATAAATAGTTGTACTAGCTCATAGTATGTACCATTGTTTACAAAATGTAATAATAACTGAAACCCTGCATTCAACTTGGGAAATAACATCAAGATCTTCATCACCATATATCAGGTGCCAAAAATAAATAAATAAATAAAATAAAAAATAAAAAATACCAGTTTTTCAGGGTGAATCATCATCATTTAATATGGTTAACGAAGTTATATACTGTAAACGTTTCTTCTCTTGCATAAGCGCGGCACAAGATCTGAATTTGTTCGCTAAGCACTGCTTACCAATAAGTGCTGCTTAGGAAAGTGGCATACGAATGCACTACTGTAGTGTATTTCCAACCCTTGCTCTTAAATAAAAAAAAAGAAACATACCTTTCGATGGGTTCTTGAGTAGACTGCCATTGTATATCATTTCCGTTGATGCTTGAGGGCACTGTTCCTGCTACTTTCATCGCTTTATTTTCTCCTGTGAGTTCTTTAAGTGCTGGAGTACTCTGTGAGTGTTGCAATAGATGGTCATGTGATGACGATGGTCGATTGGGATTGGACGATGCATACTGTAACTTTAACTTCATGAACTTTCCAAGCTAAAATATCAGAGAACAAAAAACACTAAATATTTGCAGAGAAAAAAAATTAATACATCAGATATTAATCAACTTCACCATAATATTATTATTATTTTTCTCCATCACATCTTTGATGAAGTTACCATTGTAAAAATAATCATCATCATAATAATTATCAACCATCATCACCATCACCAATATCACTACCAACACAACTATCACCATTACCAATATCATCACTGTCATCATTACCAATATCATATGATTATCATCACCATCATCCCAATATTATTAACATCACCCTTACCATTAACATCATCATTACTATCACCATTACCAATATCATATCATTATCCATATTATTATTATTATCACCACCAAAATAATCACCACTGCCATTACCAATATCATATAATTATCATCACCATCATGCGAATATTATCACCATCATCCGACTATTATCACCATCATCCGAATATTATCACCATCACCAACATCACCACTATCACCATTACAAACACCATAACCCTCACCATTACCAACATTACCACTATCACCATTACAAACACCATAACCCTCACCATTACCAACATCACCACTATCACCATTACAAACACCATAACCCTCACCATTACCAACATCATCATTATCACCATTAGCAATATCATCACTAAAATCATTATTGCCACCAACGATGCCACCATCACCATCCTCATTACTGATCATCCTCATCCTCATCACAAACCATCAATAATCATCATCACAATCATCATCTTCATTATCATCATGCAGACAAGAAATACCAAAGTAGCCTTTACTACCTCATATAGTCCACATTTGAGTGCTTTGAATACAAACGTGATGGTGGCTGTTGAGCCTAACTTGCAGGTCCCCACATGCTGCACAGGCTCCTGACACAGAACAACATCCTCAATGCTACCATTCTCCCTACGACCTACAAAAATAACATACCGAAATTTAACATTAAAATTTGAATGCAATGTGTTTCATTAGAACTAAGCTGGTAATTAAGAATTTCACCATAAAATACCTGGGTTCACATCCTGTAAAACTCCACTCTTAGGCCCTGTCCAGACTATTAAATTTTATTGGACAAAAACATGTGATATGCCTAAATATGGTCATGATGACATCACATCATGACCAAATATAGGTACACCATGACTCTATATAGGCATAAAACAGCTCTTTCGTCCATGAAAATTTGGTAGTGTAGACAGCTCATAAGAATACTGCCTAGACTATAAATTATATTAGACAAAAACATGTTACTTGCCTAAATATGGTCATGATGACATCACACTATGACCATATATAGGCACATCATGACTATATATGGGCATACAACAGCTTTTTTTGTCCCATAGTGTGGACAGTTCATAAGAATTGTAATGACATTTCTTTTAAATTTCTCACGAACATACATAACTCTACTCTCGTTAAGTCACATAATAAAATAAAAACACTGGTACCACTTTATAGACAAATTAAAAGTATTCATTACATAACCTTTCGCCAGCAGTCTACGCTGGCTTCATCAGGTGTACCAGTGTTTTATGTTATATGCCAACCAGACTAATGGATCTTTCTAATATCATAAGCACATAATGAAATTTTTCTATACAAAAACACTAGACCATCTTTCAAATCTAACCTATTGTTATACAGTAATTTTAATGACCACTGATACTTTACAGAAGGTAGTCTGTTTTACATACCAGAGTCCCCAACAAGCCTGGGTGCTGGAAGCCACATAAGTCCTATATCAATAAAATCCTGTAACTTGTTTACCAATGTATATTGCACTGAAAAGCTAGAATACACATATAATGCATTACAAGCACAAATAGGCAAACATAAAATGTAATTTATAATATTTACTCAGATTGAGGAAAAAATAGTGTAGTGTAGTGTAATTGTAATTCTCTTTTTTGCATCATATCAGATTTTCCCAATCGATACATTTTAAAGATGGTAATAAAAAAACTGTTTGAACATCCATTAATAAATAAAAACAATGAATATTCATATTTAATCTCATAAATATTCATTAAATTTCGACACTCATCTACAAATAAGAATTCAAATGACTGTATCATTTTATTGTACAAAAGTTTTTAAAGGTTTTATTCCTAGCAAAGCAAATTTCTTTTTTGGAAGATAATGTTTTCTGATTCTGAACATGTAGAAATATTAAAATTTCGATTGACTGATTGATTGAAATTTTATTTGTTTAAATTACTTCAGCCAATGGAAGTTGTATGCGGTCATTCCAAGGCAAAATAACGTAACTTAACAAAAATATAAAAGCAGCCGTATGGATAATGTCTAGGAATAAAAACGGACACCTCACTCACTTGTGTACTAATACTTTGGAAAATTCTGATAGGAAAATTTACTGATAGATATATTCATAAAAAATATCTATATTTACATTATTGTGCATCTGTTTTATACAATCTGAATTAAATAGAATGTGCTGAAAGAGCACCATGGATACTTACCTCTCCCCAATCGTTACAGGGGAGTTGCATTTAGCTAACATGACAAACGCTGGGTAGTCTAAACGAATCGTTGGCAACTCATAGTGGGCAAGTAGTGGCTTAGATTGGGCTACAGGATATGGTTTCCATTGTAGGCTAAATAATAAAGGAACATCTAAACTCTGCAAATGAAAGAAAGTCATAACAAATTGAACAATACATGCAGCATATATAAACAGAAAGCAAACGGCCAGTTGTGCACTTTTTATGAGTGATGTGTACAACCACCATGCCATAAAGTATGAATATAAAACAATGGTGGATTCGGGGGGGGGGGGAGCTGGCTGGCCTGGGCCCCCTAAATTTTTGAAAATTATGAAAAAAAAAGGGAAAAAGGAAATTATATTTCAAATTTAAATCCGAAGAACATTAATCAAATGTGTTGAGGCTCTAGAGTGGGGGAGGGGGGGCGTTAATTCGAGGGGGGAATTTATTCAAAGTGGGGCGTTTATTTGAATAAATACATATTGTTTTTCTTGCTTTTGATGTTGTCATTACCATTGTTGCTGGTGTTGTTTGGAGAGGGGGAAGGAAGACTTATTCTATTATTTTTATTTTAAATATTAAAAAGGTTTTTCCTAAATAATTCCTCACCTGGATATCATCTTGTATACTGATGTTGTCTAGTATATCTAATTGGAAGATAAAACAATTTTGTTCAAGAGCTTGTAGTACCAGTGGGAGCTGAGTGGAAGATGAGGTGGGCATGGTGCTGGCCTCTATGAAGTCTGTTACACTAAAATGCAAGTAAAATTGATCATGTTATGTTATGTTATAGTTCAACAGGCTTTAATGTAAAATGAACATCATCAATCTATTACCTCAATCTCCACAATTATCACCATCATCGTCATCATCTTTAAAATTATCATATTCACCTTTTTTGTCTTCATCATTGTCATCATTGATGTGGTTGCCAACTTCATTATCAGCATCTTCATTACCATTTCTATCTTTCCCATCATCATCATTGTCATTGAATAGAGCAATTTTTGAATCATCACCACCACAATTACCATTATCTTCATCAGGATCATCGCAACATCTTCCTTTCTTCATCTTTATACTGTAACCATCACGTTGCTATTATCATCATATTATCATCAGCATCAAACATCTTTGTCAACACTCTCTTCATTATCTTCATTTGTATCATCATAATCATCACCATCGTCATTCATGTAAAGCACGACCACAACCAATAACACCATCATCATCACTACCACCACCTTCATCATCACCTTATACCCTATTCAGACTAGACTTTGCATTGCGACCGGTTGTGATATAATCGGTGGTAAACAGTTGTAATCCAAATTGTTTGCAACCAACCATTTGCAAACTTCAACAGCATTCAGACACCTTTTTACTTTGATACTTTTACATCTCTAGAAACGATATATGTCATGGAATCCGTTGTGATCGGATTCCATGGTAATCGGGAGTAATAAAGATTGTAGCACCCAATCATAATAAAGATTGTAGCACCCAATCACAACAGGTAACAATTGCGAAATCGATTACTTATTGACTACTATCGGTGAGCTTTCAGACATGATTTTACTTTGTGATTGGGTGTTGCAACTGCTACAACCGATTGCAATGCGAATCTAGTCTGAATGGGGTATTAGACAGAAACTTTTTTTTTCTACATTTACTGTTAATTTTTCTACATTTACTGTTAATTTTGAACTTTCCTTGCACAAATCTTCTCTTAGTTAATATATTTTTACAACAATATGTTTTACAACTTACTTAGATGGTGTTGATTGGTAAGTGGAACCATCAGGACTTGGTGGTAAGAAATGGTTGTTCCTATTCACCATAATGGTAGCTTTTTCTATTGTTATGGCTTCTCCATATTTGTTACTAACTAATAACAATACAAATTAAACAAAAGTGTTATCACCAAAGAAGCAGTTATTCTATCATAATCATCATCAAAATTTTTATAATAAATACTACTGTAAGCCATATTAGCTTTCTAAAACAGAAAAAGAAAAGCAGTAAAGTATTTTAAAAATCAGTTGAAATGAAATACTGTAGAATTGATATAAAAATAGGAAAAGGAGGAAAATTATTGATGGTCAAAATAAAGTTAGAGATACCAAATGAAAGAACATACACCAACAATATAATATGCAAGATAAATAATGTATTATTAACAATAAGTTATTATACAACAAACATACTAAAACATATAAAACATTACAATAAATTTCCATAAATTATTGAAAAAAGTTGTGAGATTACCTTGGACTATTGTGTAATGTTTATCTCCAACAGTCAAATGGCGACAACAAGTATGGGGTGGGCCTACTAGTTCCAACGAAGCACACACTAGAGATTCAATTTAAACATAGGAAGTTCATTAATTTTATTATCCGAAATTCATTTTCTATACTTTTTATAAAATGAATTATTAAGACTTTATGTAGTAATATCCAATCTTGTTCACACAAACAATTACAAAACTATAATAAAATGAAACAAATTCTTTTTAGCCAAGTGTCATGGTAGAAGTGTACAACCAGCAATATACAGTAACAACATTGAACATTATGCATAAAGGTAACTGAGTGGATACACCCACAATGCACAAAGTGTGTCCCGCTATGGGTCAGCAATACATAGTGTTTAGAACATATACTCAATAAGAAAACAACCAAAAATATAAGATACAATATAACATTACTGCCACACTATATGGTATAAATGAAATCTGGATAATTGATACTGTAAGGGGGAAAAAATCAATTATGTGCAGAAAAAAAAGAGATGTAATGCCATTGGGTAGGGTGTTAGAAGTTACCGGTATAAGAAAATTTACTTTTCTTTTCAGTAATTGGGGATGATCATATTATGCAAAAAATATAAGGAAGGCAAAATTTGTTCACTTTGTATCCAGCTAGGGCATTACATGGTCATGAATATCTATATTTGTCTCCAAGGCTATCAAATTCAGTCAAAACACACCTAGCCCGGTATGAATAATAAAATACAAATTTTTTTATCAAAATTATTTAAAAATTCATTAAAAATGATACCTTTTGGTTGAAATGTTTGATGATGGTGATCGTTAGGAGTTGTTTGAGGTGAGTTTTGTTGCGTAACTGTGGAGACTTGCGGCCTTGATATCACCCATGGTGGTTCCATGACAACAGTCAGCTTACATGGTTCAAGAGGAAGATTCTCCAGTGGGAGACAAACCGGAAATAAAATCACATTCTCGCTCAGATGTACCTCCTTATATTTCTAAAAATTAAATTAAAACAAATCATATAATTTTTTTAAAATTTTGAATATTGAAAAGTTTGTCTGCATTGAAATAATTTTCCTCCACCCTCCTATATTTTACTTTCACTTTCCTTTATTTGTGTTTTTTTGTATACTGTTTTTTCCATTTTTACCATTTATTTTGGTCTTATTCTTTTCTTTTGTTCTGCATTGAGGCAAATGTGATGTGTTAAGTATGCAGCTATCGATTGGCCATTGACAAATATACTGAATTAAGTCAACTGTTTGAAATACAGTAGTTACATTTGAGACTGAAGTAAACTATTTCTTTTAGTTAAAAACAGGTAAAAATTTTAACTATGCCAACCAACTTTAGTAACTAACACACTACACTGTCTTTTTTTTTTTAAAGAACACATTTTATAAGTACACTGAGGCTGAAATTGTTAAAAAAATTAAGAACAATAACAAATTGAGGTTGAAAATGTCAAATGAGGTAGAGTATTTACTTATTTTTCTTAAATAGAAAAATGAAAAACTTTGTTTTTATTAAATAGAAAAACGAAAAACTTTGTTTTTATTTTTATTTTTTTTTAAATAGAAAAACGAAAAACGTATATCTGTACCTTATGTGCAGTAGGTGTAACTATGCAATACATTCTATAATATATACCTGTCATTTGGGGCCGTTTTTACCAAATCTTTTTTCTTGGGCCATTTTATCTGGCGGCCTTTTTCAGGGGCCATTTTACCTACATTCCAGTACAGTAGTATACTATTATACAATAAAATTTTTTTTATGTTTAAAAAAGTGTAAAATAAGAACAAAGTAAAAACATTTTGAGCCAGAAAAATAAGAACACTGAGCCTGGGAAAAATTTTACTGGTTCTTATAAAAAAAAAATTGTATTCCTACATATCTTGCATAAAGCCTTTATTGGCTGGTAATCCAATCAAAGATTTTTCTAGTAGAACAATTTGTAAACTAGCAAAAACTTACTTGTTTTTCTAATATTGGAGCTAATTTGATTTTTAAATGAGTAATTCTGTTTAAGTAATTAAATGTTACCAGAGTTAAGTTATGTCAAGACTATCCAATTTTATTTGACAAAAACATGTGACAAGCCCAAATATGGTCATGATGATGTCACACCATGGCTATACATAGGCACATCAAGAATCAAGAATACTTTATTTTAATCGATCAAACAAGTAAACAATGAAATCTCTTTTGCCAATAGCTAAAAATATACTAACAGAACACATACACAAAACATTAAAACATAATACTAAAAAGGTATGAAAAATAACTAATACATAAATTGCATTAAGAAAGTAACTGTATTGAATAGAGATTTTAATTAAATTATATGGACATACAACAGTTTTTTGTCATAGAAAATTTGATATCTGGACAAAGCTTTCAGAAATCAAAATCATGTCTCTTACATGCTTAGTATAATAATCATCCTGCAAAATTCATTAATTTTGTTTCATGGTATGTCTAGGCCTAGCTCATCATAAATTTATTAATAGTAATTCAAATAAAGCTCCATGGACCATGAGTACAGTACATCAATATATTTGTATTTTTAATAACAGACTTGGTGTACTGCCATTATTCCTGATGATGACATAATTAATGTTGAAATATTGAATCCCAACACGATGGCATTTCAATACATGGGAGTATGTTATTATAGCCTACTTTCTTATCTGAGATTAATTAGTGAACCTTTTGGGTTTTTGGTATAATGTGGTATTTAATTTAGCAATGAAAAGAAAAATACATTTCCTGCAGAAGGTTATAAATCAAATAATGTATATCATGACTACATACAATTTTATATTAATACAAATGTCTGCGAAAGTGATTGATTTTGTGTGTGGTGGTACGGACAGCAGGAAATGACCAGGCCTCCAAGATTATTAAATCATTGATTGTTTTGCCACTATCGCCAAATGTTTGTATCTATTTACCTTTACGTCACTTATATCCTTTTTATACATCACAAGCAACGGAGTACAGGTTTGAAAACCATCTGGGCAATGCGCATCAACTTCCTCTTGCTTAGGCCTAGCAGATGGTGTTAGTGTTGACGATGGCACGCGGCGTATGTACGATAAACACTGCTGGCCCCTCGACTGCTTTCGATACAGTTCGCGCTGGCCATGGCCTACGTTTCCATTTTCCTGCGGTGTTTCGATCGTTGCTTCTAATACGACATTTAGACATTCACCAAAGTAAGCAATACTTTTGCGAGGTACCTCTTTTAGGCTTGACCAATCGTCGGGGAAATATTGCACAAAATGCAGCCTAAAGCTGCAACACTGTCCGTCATCCGGCGATTTGGCCATCCTCAAAACACAACTCTACTACTACTGGACTTACGGAGGATCCTATATTAATTTTCGCATTGGTGGCGGTCCTATTATAATAAGTATTTATCACATGCGCGAATCAAGGATTTCTTTATCTAGGTCAAATGATGATGCAGTATCTCCATTCACATTGATTAGAGATTGGTTGATCGAATGTGTTCAACATGAACAAAAAAAAAAAAAAAAAAAAAAAAAAAAAAAAAAAATTAAAAAATAAAATATAGTTAACAAGAAAAGCAAAAAGTGATAAGCACAGGAACACCATTAGGTTGAACTCCAGCCATTTGTGCAAAATTACGTATATCATTAATATTTAAAATTTGAAAATTGACATAAAATATGATACAAATAAAGCTGAAATTAAAAATAGAGCTATTGCATTGCACATAATTAAAACTCTAAAAGCGTTTTAAATGTTACATCAAAAACATTTTTAAATGTACAAATTTTTAGAAAAACACAGCACCCAGAAAATATGATTTTAAAAATTACACCCAATGGAATGACAAAACTAGAATAATTGCAATTAAGTACTGTTCTGTTAAAAAATGTTTCGTGTGTGAAAAAATAATTAGAACCTATAGGATCATAAGAGTCGGAATTAACAATTCAGTTGAATTGTAAATAAAATTTGAAGTAACTAACATGTCTACAGTAGAGTACTTGCCTACTTATTATCTTGTATGACATTATTGGCATGTGTTGAACTCATCAATATTCATAAAACTTTTGTGCTACCCTCGCGTGCCAGTTCACCTCATGCTATTGAATATTTTGATTAGCATTTCATCATACAGTCAGCATGTTTACTGTAAAATTACAAATTTCAACAACTCTTGTTGACACTCTGGTGCAAGGACATACACGCCTTTTTAAATTTAAATTCCGTTCATATTAGATTTCCGAGTAGGTTTGTATAGTAAACAACACTATTCTTCATTGTAAACCCCGATATCGGATTATAAAATTATTGTGGGCGAAACCGTGGGTGTTTGATTTACTACTACCATCAGTGCGAAAATATCAGACCCATTGGAAAGATAAGCACAACTAGGCCACGGAGTATCACACTCTAATGGTACTGACATAAGGATATCCTTTTCTGACGTTCAATTTCCACCAGTAAGTTCGAATTGTTGACTAACTATTCAATAACATGTGAGCCCATTACTTTATACGGTCACAGGAAGTGTATCTAGTTTTATTTTAAGTCGGATAAGTGTTTCATATTGAGTGTCACAAGGAGAAAAAGGTAAGGTATGGTAGGGGCCTAGTAGGGCTTGCGCCCAGACCCACTATTATTACTACTGCTGTACTAGGCCTAGTGTTTATGTTTAATGAAATTCCCGGACCTCATGCATTGCATAGTCGGTATGCGTAGGAAGATTAAAAAAAAAAAGTTTAGGCCTAGGCATCTGTAGCTAAATAAAAAAAAAAAACTTGAATTATCTATCAATTCGAAAGTTTACAATGACATAGATAGGCTTATTTTAAAATAAATTACTGTAATTACATGGTTATTGATTTTACGGTTATTTATGATGACTGATGTCATTAAATAAATATTTTATTATTGTGAATGATTAATACTATACTAGGCCTAGGGCCCAGGCCTACATACAATACAATACAATATTGATTGGTAGGGAGGTGCCTTTGTAGCAAGAAGGTATACCATTTTTTATAGTGTCATTTAACAATAGGCTTAGGGATTGTTGGTGTAAACTGAATCTTAAATTTTCTGAATTTATGACTAAATGACCGACATTTTCGCCAACATCATCATGTATTTTAATAATAATTGTACCATTTAAAAAAGTTATTTCATTTTTATAAAATTCAAAAAGGTTTAAGCAATATATAATATTTTCAGTTGGCAGAAAATCGCAGCCTATCACAATCACAGTTAGTTCATTTGATGTCAGTAAAAAAGAATCCGAAATTAATTTTTAACCAAACACCACCATTAATAAAGATATACACAAAATATTATTATCAATGAATTGTCAGGATAAATAGCAGTAAAATTATTTAAGTTATATAAGAATTACATGGGGTATTAAATAAATAAGAATTTTTAACATATCTTTTTGTATATTAAGTGTTGCATGTGTGCCGCTGTTAAAAAAGCGTTGTTTCAAATAAGGTTTTTATTAGTACTAGACTGGAAGTTTTAGATATGACGTATGTAAGAAAATAGCACCAACTAACTTATGAAAAACATAATGTTTAGGCACTAATATTCTGTTATTAGATAAGTATACTTATATATTTAAAAAATGTTATTATTAAAAGTAAAGGGGTGGATGATTAATTCCTATCTTTAACTATGGGCATTGTATACATAATACTATCAAGAATAAAAGATTTACAGAGATGACTTATATTGTTATGGTATTACAGTAGTATTGAGACTAAACCCTTGGTTTATAGTTGTGCAAGGGTACGAGTCTTGCCGTATGTTAAATAACTACCAAATACCATACTCTGTTCTGGTCAATTGACAATGTAGACAAGTTTAATCCTTTTGGTTTTGATTGATAAAAAAGAAAAAAGAAAAAAAAATCAATAATAGTAATAATAGTACTATGAATGACCTCTTCAAAAAATTAGTTCTTTTGTTTATACTTAAAATCCCAACAAGATGGTGTGTATTTCAATACTTGGAGTAGAATATACTTTCTTTTCTGTATACAGTATTTATGTATCTTTTTGTTTGACTATGGTAATTTTTATTTTCTGACTTTCATTTCCTTTGTTGTTCATGTGATCTACACTGTGCTGCATCACTGGAAGTGTTATCCCATAAAGGCAGAATAAACAAATAAGTAATAATAAAAAGTAAAGATGCAAAATTAATTCTGTGTCAATGAATTATAAACAACCTCTTCTAAGAAGAGACAAATTAATTACGTGTCAGTGCATAAAACCTTTGTCTGGCTAGCTAGGAATAGTAGTAGCAGCCTACCATACTGTATGAACCATAATGACATGTACAGCAGTTTTTAAAGTGAATTACAACCAATATAATATACATACCATGCAGTTAAGGTTAAATTATATTTAGCGACCATGTCTACGATAGGCCTATATATAGTACTGTATGCATCCAATTCGAGGCAACCAATGTGACCTGAAAATTTGGTGTTGTCTCGGGGTCAGTGGCGGCTCTAGGATATAATTTATGGGGGATATAATCTATGGGGGGGGGGGGCTAAGATGTCCGACTGGGGGGGCTAAGTATTTATGGGTGTAACTATAGACGAAGGCCCGAGCCAGGGTAGGTATCAGAGGGGGTGTCCCCTCCTCCCAAAACATGATTTCTTTTTTAAAAATTGGGACTTCTACTAGATGGCCGGAAATGGCTGGAATGGAAAAACTAGGCCTATTTTTATTTTTATTTTTTCGATCTGACTGCCCAACGAGCTTTGGCCGATGGGGGGGGGGCTTGACCAGGCTGTTGGGAGACTTAATCCCCCTTCCCCCCGCTGGGGCCACCACTGCTCGGGGTTCGGCCTCCAAATAGAGGGTTATCTTTGTGTTAAAAGATTGAAGATCGCTATTTGGTTCTTTGAAAAAGTAGTCTCAAACTAGAGGGGTCTTGAAATTAGAAGGATCTCGGAATTGGATGGTGCACTGTGTATATGATTTTTTACTGTATTAGTTAATGTAATCTGCAACAGTCGTGATTATCTTATATACATTTTTTTCTTTTATGCTTATGATTATTACTTTGTAAGTCTATATTTTTAAAACTATTTATTTAATTGCTTTTCATCATGCCCCATAGTACCATTTGGTACCATATTATTTTTTAGTTGGCCTAACATCCTTTGAAGAAATTATAGCACCACTGGTGAAGAATTTAATTTAAATTGAATGGGTAAAATGGTAGTTATGACCCTTTTAAATCAAACACTATTTTTGTGTCTAAGAAATATCAGTTTTACAACATACCAAAAATTGTTTTCCTCCAAAATTTGACTTATATTAAATATGTTATGTATTAAAAATATTTGTTCCTCAGGAGCCTGGCTTTAAACATTATGAATTTAAGTTCTTTTCTCTACCTATTAAAATTAATAGGATGTTAAAGCATAAATTTGTCATGTTTTCAACATGGTTTTACCAGGCTGATAAGCAGGCATCAGCTGCTACATTATGTGGGCTGTCACATGCACATTTGTGTACAGTACATCTTACTTAGAATTTTCTATTTAATTTCTCTATATAATTGTCAAATACTCAAACTTATCAATCGAATGAGGTAAATACACACTTACAGTATGACAACTTATCTTGTGGACCAATATTTACACTAGGTGGAACCTTTATTGTACCAAAGGTTTGTTTGCCCCAATTCCAGGTACTTCTAAAACTACAGTACTGTACATAACCCTGGCACAGTATGTTATGGCATGGAAAGAAAAGTACCGGTATTTAATTGCCACTAGTAAATATTGATAATATGATTAGCAATTTCTCCCGCATCTATAAATCCATTCTTTTTTTCAACGAGCGGTAAGGCAGGGGAGCCGCTAGCTACAGCCATAACATCTGCGCTGGTTCCAGCCGCTCCTCGCCCATGGTTCAGTTGGTAGAACCAAGTCTTCTCAGATAAGGACTTAAAATGGAGGTCCAGTGTATACATCTGGCTCGTGTGCACTTTAAAGAACCCATTGCATCTTTCAGAAGAGTTTTAGGTTACCCCGATGTTATGGTTCATTTCAGCCCCTGTCGTTGTGGAATGATGTGAACATGTATCTACCAAGAAACGCCTCTTTACGGCTGCTAGGTAGTCACGGACCACGCCCATACGTAATTCAGCGTGATTAATTTGGTTTTTTTTTTTGACAAGACATGGCATTTGTTTACTGTTTGTTTCTGTATTTAAAATTTCTTATAAATAATTGAATAAATCAAATTCTATTTTATTTTTAGATTTTTAATAATTACAGTTTCATTTCATTTCATTTATTTAAGTTTGCCTTGTTCATGTACAAAATATAATAAAATCTACGAAAAGGTAATCCATGTTTCCCCAAGAGCCGTAGGGATTGCCAAAAAGTCAAATAAATTACTATCTAAGTGGCTCTCCAAGCAATGGGGGAAACATGGACTCGAAAGGTAATAATATATACAAAACTTGCCAAAAGTTGACTTTGCCTACTCGAATAATTACTAAGTCGATCTTATTTTACATACCAAATTGTTGTGTTGTCCGTTAACTTTCGAATATTATCTTAAAGTCGAACAATTTTTCAATGCCAATTTTGATTTGAATTTGGCAAGTTCAACTGTAATAAAAGAATTATTGTTGTTTTCTTTCAGAATTTGAAACAGCCTTTAGATATCACCATTGAAGAAGATCCCCGATATTAGATGAGATGGTTTCTCACATCAAGTTAGAGAACCAACAGAAGTATAAAAACCATGTATGTCTGTCGTGTATCACAGGGTTGTATGGTTGCCGATGGAAACGATATCGTAGATCCACTGAACCGACTACACTGGTAAGGTATACATTACACATTCACATTAATACCAAATACACATCACCTGCTTGAGTGTACTGCATATGTTACTAGCATGTACTTTGGCCATTGGCCATTGGCTGTGCTCTAAGTGTTTAACCAGCACACAAGCTCCCATCCCCTTGTATTAGCCTAAAATTCTCTAACCAAGTGTGAAATCATTTGAATAAGAGATTAAATAATAATAATACATATTGCACAAAAAAGCTTCTATGCAATTAAAATGGCTAAAACTCAAGAGCTACATTACAAGTGTTCGCATCAACCTGTACTCCTACAATAAAACAAAAACACCTCAACTGTAGGTCCTCGATTGTCACTATGTCTCTTATGCTATTATTAAATGATAATAGCAATTATGATATTAATATTATGTTTGTAATAATAACAACAATCATAATGGTAAGTTCAATAAATATTTTTAATTTTTTTGTTTTTCAGTTGGAAAAGATATCGTTGTTTATTGTATTTATAGCCTTTCTGTTGATGTCAACATTATTCTATTTCTGGATAGTAGCTGGAAATGATGCTGATGATGTCAATTGGTATGTACTTCTATTTTTTGAGGATGATGGCAAAAACAGTGATGAATGTGAATGTTATGACAAGGTTATTGCAATGGCAGATGTTGATAATATAATAATAACATTCCAATGTCGTTTCTTGCGTCAGGAGAAATAATACATATGATGTTTTCCCCACCTTTACTGAATGCTCAGTACATTCCCAAATGCTTGCACGCCAGGTGGGGCAGACATCATTCATATAATAATGATGTTGATGAAAATGGTGTAAAAAATGAGATTGATGATGATAAGGACAGTGACAATGTTGATGATAAGGTTAATGTTGATAAGGTTCATGATAATGATGATGAGTAAGTTGATGATCAGGGGCGGATTTAGGGGGACGGCCGAAAGTTTAAAAAAAAGAAAAAGAAAAAATTTATCGCCCAAACCACCTCAGAGGTTATTTTTGGGCATCTAGAAAACAAAAATTTCACAGGGGCACGCCTCAGTCCCCCTGCAGTGGTGTTATCTTGATTGGCCCTATTTTCAGGCCCCCTTTTCTGGCATTTCTGGATCCGCCCCAGATGATGATAATGCTAATGATGACGATAGGAGTGATGTTTTGCCCTACCTGATGTCACATGTTATCATACTGGATACTTAGTTATTTCACAATACTTGAGAAAAAATTGTGACCGTACTGAGTATTCAGTATGATCAGGTAGGGTAAAACATCACTCCTATGATATTTTTGCTTATGAAAATGTTAGTATTTGTGATGATGAGTATGAGATTGCTGAATTGATGAAACGTACAATTGTTAAAAATTAATGATGAAGATGCAAATGTTGTTTATATTGATAAAGATAATGATAATATATTAATTTTTTTAAACTCTTAGTACAAACTATTTCAGCCTTTGACTGCTGTATTTAATTTTGTCTTTTATACCTGAATGAATAAATAAATACCGTTGATGACGTGAAATTATATTGATAATGAAAAAATGCTATAAATGATAATGATGTCAATGCTGATGATATTAAGGATGATTTTCTAAAGTTTAGTGCTAATATGTTTATCTTTTTTTCAGGATCATATGGACTAATCTACAAAGTTGGTTCAACTGGTACTTGCTTCTCTTTGCCTTGACTGCTGTTGCCTTTTCATATATATCATTTTTAATAGTGAGTGCGTTTTCACAGTTTTAATATTTACATGCTCAGTTATTAATAATAAAGTATATATTAAGCATAAATTATAAACACTATTCATTAAAACTTTTCAAAAAACTTTTACCAACATTGGTATTAACAGGTTTTAGAATGTGGTAGATACAAGGAATTGAGCCTCTAAATTAGTAGCCAGCTAGCTATCACAAAAATATATAGGGTTGGAATAAATAAAATCATTTAGTAAGACAAGGAGAATAATATGAAATAGCAAAAATAGCATATCTTATCTAAAATAATAGACAGCTTTCGATTGCACGAGAATGGTGGTTGCACATAGAACTTAATGATGTCACTAAGAAGTTATCTCTGCATGCGAGAGCGTTGTTCTTTTTGTAGCATTGATTTCAGGATGTAATTTGGCCCGAGTCTATTTTGTGCAGAGGATGGTAGGATTGTCACGCATGAGTGAATCTGTTCTAGCGTTGTGTTGTTGAGCAAAACGAAAGCTTGCTATTATTAATATGTGAGCCGTTTTAAGCGAACCTACTCCCATTACTGGCTTTCTCATTTGTTATACGTTTTAATAATTAGGTTTTTTACAAACTTTTTAGAACTGTTTTGATCGTTAATAAATCAAACAAAATGGGTATTAACTTACTGTAAGCTTTCCATTGTGGTTGGTTTATTAATGATTTAAACAGTTCTACAACAACAATAATAAGCAAAACAGATGAAAATATTCAAATATAATTTTCTTATGATTCCTGTTTACTATTAGTAAGAATTATAATTTCAATATGTTTAAAGAAATGATATATCTGTTTTTTTTTTTTTCAAGGTTTTAGGGATTTTTCACTGGTTGCTTGGGCAACAATTTCATTTGCATTTGATTCACAAGATCTTGGTTGTAGCGGTGATAGGGGGCGGTATTGCTGCTGTCATAGTCATATCATTGGAATGGAGGAATGAGTGGGAACTTCTAAATAAATCCTTGCAGGTAAATTACTGCAGCCATGTTGAAAAAAATATACTCAAATATAAAATGAAAATATAAAGATTAGTAGTAAAACTAATGAAAAGACCACAATTTAGCAGTGATTAAACTGATTTTTTTTTTAAATTATTTTTTTAATTGTGATTATTTTCGGTTTTGCAGATATCAGCACCAATTCTTCAGCTAGTAGCTGTGGTTCTATTGACTCTTCTTACTTGGCCGTTTGCCAAGATATTCTTCAAATCTTCAACAGGTAGTCAATTTGCATGTCAATGAATATAATGTGATGGTAATGATAGTTATGATGATTATTAGAGATGTTGAGGGTGATGATGGTGGTAATTATTATGATAATTATGGTGATGATGATTGCAAGGAAAATGATGATGGTGATGATTATGATCATGATAATGATGGTGAGAATGAAGATGACATTAATGATAATGGTATAAATATTGATGATGATGATGATGATGATTGGTAGGTGGTGATGGGGATGATCATGGAGATGATGATAATAGTGGAGATGATGATAATAGTGGAGATGATGATAATGACCTTGAAATTTTAGGGTCAGCTTTTTTTTTAATTAAAGAAATTATTTTTTTACTAAGAGCCTTAATGTTACATTAAATATGGCAAAGAAAACTTGTATACATTTTGTATCTTCTTGTTTATCTACAGAATATCAAATCCCACAGTTTGTCCTGTACCTCATCGTAATGACCTTTATATATTTAAGTCCGCTCTTAGTCGACAACCCATGCTTCATAACGTCAGGTGATCTCCCGGTACGCCCAAAGATTATGGCTCATAGGGGCCTGCAACAGGTATATACTTAGACATTTATTGGATTTGATTTTGTATTGAGTTTTAGCACCACTATTCATCTTAAATAGCGCAGTACACCAGAAAACAATCCTCTGCCTCCACTTAATAATTGAGCCGCCACTCCACCTTCATGCCTCCCCATCAACACCCCCCCCCCCCCCATACACATCCCCCATTTCAAGATTCCTAGATACACCACTGCTCCAATGTGCACATAACACCAAAGGCTTTCATGTCTCATTTGAAGATGGGTGAGCTAAAAACTGTATTTCACAGACAACAACTTAAATGGAATAGAACTAAAGACTGCAAGGTCTCCATGCTTGAGCGCACTCACAGTCGTTAGCGCTAGTTTAACTAAATAGACTATACACTCGCTTTGCATATTTACAACCAGTGATTAATTATGCCAACTCTAATCTTTACACATTGCGGCATCATGCTTTTGATTTGTTACATTTTTGCAGGTTGATTTATTTTCGCCTTTTCCTTTTGAATTTAATACATTTATATAATACTAGTGCACTAACTGCATAAATATGAAATCATTGCAATTTTTTACTAGTTTTTAATTAAATAATGATTTCTATCTTCCTTTTTTTTCAAATTTCAGTTAGCACCAGAGAACACTATGATTGCGTTTGAGCAGGCAGTAAACTATAGTGTTTTTGGATTTGAAAGTGATGTATCGATAAGGTAAGATTCAACTTTTATTGTGGAATTCAAATGCATACATAGAAATAGAAATAATATTTTATAAAACTGTTACTCTGCATATCTTTAATAGACTTTCACTAAAGAGTTGGAACGCAATCCTATCTCAAAGAGTACTACCACTAACTGAAGGGCGTCCTTCAACAGAACCTAAAAGGTGTTTGTACTGCGTCTGTATAGAACACACGTTCAAGTTCTCTACTCTATTAGAATTCTAATATGTCACCCCCTATCTCTTGTTAGTACTATTTTTTAACGTTTCATTGCTTATATACAAAATCAGGGCAGTTGCACCTCTTGCATTTCTGTACTCTTTGCTTTCACTTGTTATCTATATATAGCACTTTAATAATAATTTAAAAAAATACACATTTGTTAGCTAGGAGTGGTAATACCGCTGTTGATTGTTTTCTTAAAGCTGGGATGGTGAACCATTTCTTATGCATGATGCAAACCTTGCACGGACAACAAACGTAAAACAGAAATTTCCCGCCCGGGAATGGGATCCTGCAAGCACTTTTAACCTCACAGACCTTCAGAAATTAGATGCGGGCTCATGGTTTATTGAGGTAAAAATCTTATTGACATCCTTATAAAT